TCGGAAGGTCTCGGGGGAGAAGGCAAGGCTCTGGGTCGTCCGCTCGCCTCCAGCTGCTCCACATGGATTACATGTTTATGTCCTGTCTTCCAAACTAGACCACACGCTTTCTGAGTTGAGAACTACGCCTTCTGCTTCTTTCATTTATGAACTGGCTATCACCTACAGGAAAAGTTCAAGTGCTTGAGCAGGAAAAACAAAGCCCTTCATGATCTAAACATAATCAACCACTCTGAAGTCATCTCTCACTTCTTCCAACCCACATCGCCATCCCCCTGGGGGGATGAGTTCAGGAACTCTGCACGTCCTGCTCTCAGCCTACGATACCCCGTGCCGCCAACTGTCAAACCACAACTCACCCCTCAAGTCCTAAGGATTATGTCATCTTTGCAGAGCCCCATTCAATGTCCCAGGCAGTAGTCTGTCCCTTTACACCGCTGCCCCTCCCCCACGAGCCCCACTTCGCGGATGCCCACCCATCACAAAAGGCCATACATGGTTCACCTCTCCAGACCGCAGAGGGTAAGAGAAAGAAAAGGCTATGGAAGAGGATCTCAGGAACGGGAGGAGAAGAAAGTCTCCATCTGTTCATAAAGCTGACTGTCGACCCTTATGAGCAGCACAGTCCCGATTACACAGCGCATCAGTACACCCTGTCGCAAACACTGCTTCGTAGAGGAACCGCAGGGAGGATGGGGGCAAAGCACAGTGTCAAAGGAAACACAGCCATTCGTATCTTACCTCCTTCTTCCTTGACTTCTTCACTCAGCTCTCCTGAGAAAGGCTCCTTTGGAAGAGGGTGACCACCTCTGTCTTCTTGGGGAACAAGCCCAGGCCTGAGTGTAATCTTCTTCCCTCTCCTTGAACCAGCGGTCTGGACTTTTCCTTTACCGATGTGTACATGAAGGGGCTGGGAAGTCTCCAAGGAAGGCAGCGTGAGTCCCTGAGAGATGGCTGCATCAACCGCTTCTAGAACTGGTGCATCCGTGTCCTGGGTGAGCCCCCTAGAGCTCAAACATGGGGCCTCCACAGCAAGCTGACTTCCAGCGTCCTGCACGGACTCCACCTGGAGGCCTGCCGCCCTGCCATGGCTCGGACCCCCAGAGGGAGACGCCGAGCCCCAGTCTTTCACCTGGTCAGACGATGATTTAACAACCGACTCCAGGTCCGGGTCCTCTCCCTCCTGGCTGCCCTGGTGCTGTGGGGACTCTGTCACCGTAGTCCTTCTCTTCTTACAGGGCAACATTGTACAAGGCCCACTCCTGTTCCATCCTGAATGGAGAAAAGCAAGTTCTCATTACCCTCAGATTAGTCACTGATACCAGCATTTCTTCAAGTATCTTTCTGCTTATTCACACTCAGTCAGGGACACAGTATTTACACCAAATACACATCCCAGTAAGTGGGAAGTGAGGGGCTGTGCTTAGAGTGTGGTGCTCAAACCCTAGCTCCACTCCCACTTAGTACACTATCTTGGCTGATGTAACCTCTCTGATCTTGAATTTCCTCCACTGTAAAGGACAGTAGCTGTGCTTACCTCAGAGTTATAAGAATTAAACACTACGTGATTAGTAAATGTTAGTTACCATGATTACCGTATGGGAGGTAGAAAAGCACAATGCTGACAGCAAATCGTGGAGTCAAACTCCATCTGTTTCCCAAGCCAGCCTCTCCCCAGCCTTGTGACCCCACATAAGTTATCTAAACTCAACCTCAGCTTCTTCGGCTATAAAACAAAATAGGGGCAACTGGGTGGCTCAGTCCGTGAAGCGGCTGCCTTTGGCTCAGGTCATGACAGGACTGAGCCCTGCCTCAGGCTCCCTGCTCAGCAGGTCTGCCCCTTCCCCGCTTGTTCTCCCAGGCTCGATCCCACTCTCTCAAATAAATAAAATCTTGTAAAAAAAAAAAAAAAGTTTAAAAAAATGAAATAAAAACAGTATCTATGTCATTAGACAGCAATTTATTAGATCAATAATGTTTGCTATTGCTGTTTTCATAAACAGGTAGTTCCAGTAACAGAAACAATCTAGGGTGCCCGGGTGGCTCAGTGAGTTAAGCCTCTGCCTTTGCCTCAGGTCATGATCTCAACGTCCTGGGATCAAGCTCCACATTGGGCCCTCTGCTTGGTGGGGAGCCTGCTTCCCCCTCTTTCTCTCTGCCTGCCTCTTTGCCTGCTTGTGATCTCTCTGTCAAATAAATAAATAAAATCTTAAAAAAAAAAAAAACCAGAAACAATCCAAAAGCAAAGCATGATTGTTTAAAAAGGTTAAGCTACATTATTGTGCTGAAAACAAGAGAGTTCCACTATTCTCTATGCTATCACTTCCTGACTCTGGGTTCAATTCCAGTTATTCACAGTTTAAAGGCAACACTAACTCAAGCTAGAGAGTATTTTTTATGTTCTTATAGCACCTGTTTGCAAAGCTCTTTTACAGTATTTATCACTTTTGTCATTCTCTTGTCTGCCTCCTTCCCATCTCCTCCCCCCAAAACTACGTGCTGAGGAAGTAGGACTTTTCTCTAAGGAAAAGGACTTTTCTAACTGGTACCCCTAGTACTTGGCAGGATCTGCCAATGGCATACTCAATGAATGTTTCCGGAAGAAAAGAGCAAACGAGAGACGGCATGAACTCGCTTAAGTCTATGTAGCATTTGGACCAGGAGTTAAGCAATGTATGAAAACCCGTGGCATCTTTCTAGCCCAAAAAAACCTTACTCTCATAAAATAGGTTCAAGAATACAGTAAGTTGCCTTGTACAGCTCTGAGTTCTTCCTCACTGACAATGCCCATCTGTCAGGGTACCCCACGAAAGCCTGAATAGAGGACTAAGAAAGTTCAGAGTCTGAACTATAAGGTTATTTTAAAACTCCCCAATTCAGGGGCGCCTGGCTGGCTCAGTCGGAAGAGTGCAAGTACAACTCCTGCTCTCAGGGCTGTGAGTTCGAGCCCCACGTCAGGGAGAGATAGATATCAAATAGATAATTTTTTAAAATAAAATAAACCTCCCTAACTCAGTTTCTCCAGGCAGCAGGAAAGAACCCCACCCTGGGCCCCAAACCAGCCAATGTCGTAATCTTGACTGTTTAAAGCTCAACAGGCACGTGAAAGTTCTGCGGGCCCCGGGGAGGGAGGCTGGGGGAGTAGGTAAAGAGGTGGGGCGGGCGCAGCCTGCACGGGTCCTACAGTTCAGAGATAAATGACAGGTTGAGAAAAGAAAAAGAAAGACGGGAGGCAGAGAGCGCCTATCCGACGGAGCAGCGTGCAGAGAGGGGCTCCAAGCACCTGAAACGCAGCAGCTGCCGAAGGCCCGGCTGCGGGAACTTGGGGTCACCGCCGCGGGGGGAATGAATGCGACCCCGGGCAGCGCCGGCGCGGGTCCCTCCCAGGCACAGGTTCCAAAGGGGAGTCCTCGCCGCGCTCCCCACCTCGGCGCCGAGCGGCGGCTGGACCCCCACGCCCAGCCCGGCACCGTCACGCACCCCGCGCCGACCCGACCCCTCTTCCCGCCCCACCGCACGCGCCCCACCGCCCTCACCAGCCGGCCGGATCCCGCGGAAACCCAGCTCCGCTCCCGCCGGAAGTCGGCCAACGGCAGCGCCGGACGTGCGCGCCCCTGAGCGCGCCCGCCGCCGGGCCGCCAAAGAGCATGCGCCAGCCTCCGGGCGCCGTGCTCGCGGGGGGCGGGGGAAGCCGGCGCGGCCGCTGGCGGGCGGGAACTTCGGGGCGAGCCCCGGCCGCCTCCGTGCGTGGAGCTGTCCTGCTCCATACTAAGCAGGGGCTCGCGATTCCGTGGTGTCGCTTGACAGGTAACCCTGCCCGCCGCGAGATACCCGCAGCACGGGACCGAGGAAAGGGCGAGCCCCTAGCGCGGCAGGAGGCGGACTCCCTGCGTCGCACGGATCGAACCAGGCGGGCTGGGCCGCCCCCGCGAGGCGGTGCGCGAGCCTGTGCGACCGCGGCTGTCACACCCTCCAGGTCACACACACATTCCGGGCCCGGTTGGGGGTAGACTTCGCAGACGTGCGCGCTGCCCGGGGCGCTCCGGCGGCCTAGCGCGCTGCCAGGGCACCGCGGTCGGTGCTCGGGAGGGGACCCGGGCGGAGCGCAGGCCCCTCGGGCGCACGGGTTTGGGACGAGGGAGTGATTTCTGGAGCCACGGTCCTCCACCGACGCCGGGGAACGCGGCCCGGCGGCCAGGTTGCAGGCGCGCCGCCGAGTCCACGTGTGTGAACGCTTCGGCCCGACCGTCCGTAAACGGGAGGAGAGCAGCCGCGGTGGACCGCGGGAGCGGGACTGCGGCAACCGTGGGGTGACTGCCAGGACTGCGCCAGTCGCATCACCGGCCTCTCCCCGGAGCCAAGGAAGCCTCTGGAAGCTCGGAGCTCCGTCTGCGCCGCGTTCCCGGGCCTGCGGAACTCGCGGCGGTGCGGCTTTGCTCGCTCGCTCCGCCCTCCCCCTCCGCGCGTGCGTGTGTGTGTGCGCGTGCGCGCGCTGAGACTCGTGGACGGGAAATGCCCGGCGCAGGTCAACGCGGCCCCAGCCGCCCGTTCTGAGCAGGAGCTTTAATGCGCGCGCCACCAGCCCACCTGCGTCTACGGGCGTTCCCGGCCCCTGCTCAGTTGCGCCCCCGCCACCCGGTCTGGTCTCTCAGCCGCACCTCGGCGGCTTGCGAGGTTGACAGGGTTCCCCGGAGCGGTCCCAAGCCGCGTCGCGGTAACGGCCAGCGACACGGGAGCGCGGAGCGCGCGGTTTTCCCAAACCCCTGGGCCCCCCGTCAGCCGGAACGTTCTGCGGCGGCAGATAGCCCGGAGCCTGCAGGACGCCGGCCGGGCCACGGGGCTCCCACAGCCCGCCTGGGGGCGCGGTCTCGCGCTCCAGAAAGCCCCGCGGCCGCAGCGGTCCTCCCACAGGCAGCTTCCGGAAGGGGGCGGGGCCTGGCTTCCGGAGCTTTTCGGACGGGGGCGGAGCCTCCTGCCGAGGGCCGTTCGGGAGAAGGCGGGGCCTACCTCGCATCAGGACCAGTCTGGCTGCACCTGCATCCTTCGCTCAGAGCATCCCCCGAGCATCCGAGGAGGCGGCCGCAGCTGGCAACCGGGGGCCCGACCGTCACAGGAGGCGTCCGCCAGACACCTTCCCCCTCCCCTGAGCTAGCGCTATACAGCGGCGGCCTCGGTGCTGGCCGGGCGCCCCCAGACTTGCCCGACCCCTGAGAAAGCATTTGTAGCAAGAGCCTCTGGCTACGACATGGCTGAGATCACCAACATCCGACCGAGCTTCGGTGAGTAGAGTCGGAAAACTAAGCCCGGGCAGTGGGCACCGCCGCAACGCCAGAGGGGCCCAGTGCCGGGAGGGAGGGAGGGAGCGAAGCCCACGCCGGGGCCTTCCACGCCGGGCCCGCTAGGATGGGGCCTGCGGCGGCGGCGGCGGGCCGCGCCTGAACTTGAGCTGCGGGCTGCCGGGGCCGGCCAGGCCGGGGGCTCGCGGGGGGTCGCGAGACGGACGCCCAAACGTGGGCCGCGGCGGCGTGCTGCGCTGCGGGGTGAGGGTGGGGGACGGGGACAGCACGCGGACCCCTCCCCCTCGGGGCGCGCAGGGCGGTGCCCCCTGCTCCCCCTCCCACTCCTCGGGCTGCGGGGGAGGACGGCGGCGGGGGATGGGCGCCAAGATGGCAGCTTGGTGGGGGGTGGGGGGCTCGGGGTCCCGGGGCTGGGGCACGGCCGCGGGGGAGCCGGGGCTGTGGGGACGCGGGCGCGGGGAGCCGCTGGCCGGCGGGGCGCGGGGCGCAGGCCCGGCAGCCGCCGAGGCCCCCAGGTGCGGTTCTGCACCGTAATGGTGGGTCCGTCCGATGCTACCAAATGGCGCTCGGCGCTGCGGAGCCGGGGATGACGTGATGTCTATTCTCGGCCTCCTGGCAGCGCCCAGGCCCCTCTTCTCGGGCCTTTGTTCCCTGTTTCCCTGGCTGGCCTTTCCGAAAGGGGGACTCACCGCGCTGGTGGTGGCGGGGGCGCGGGCCCGGCCCGGGGGGAGGGGCGGAGAGGCCGGGCCCGGGGGAGGCCGCTTTGTGTACCCTGCAAGGCATTACGTCACCGCCGAGCGGCTGGTCCCCGACCCGGGCCTCCGGGCTCCCAGCTCGGCTGCACTCCAGGGGCAGAGAGTGGAGGGGAAAATAGGGAGGAAGACGGGGAAGAAAAGCTGAATAATCAAGTTCTCCCTTCTTTGGGGCTTCCTCCAAAATGTGCTAGGGTTGCAAACTTCCTGGACTACGCTTTTCTGCTTCCAAAATAAAGGAGTTGCCCTGCTTTTTCCTCACTCTACCCCAGCTTGGGTGGGAGTTGCTGTCAGCCAGGGGTTTCTTCATGTCTCCTACGAGAGTCTATCCTTCAGACAACCCAGAAGGTTTGAGCATCGGGATGACAATTTTTAGGGTGGGGCCACAGTCCAATGAGGAAATGGCTTTTCTCATTCCGCAGTTAGAGGTTCATGGAAATGAGCTCTCTCACTTCAGTGTCAAGAAGACATTGTCACATTAGGGGAAGTATCCAGAGGGCAGATCACACCCATTAGCTACTGCTTCCCACTGATTCCCCAAGGCTAAATCTTAGCTGGCTTGCTTTTTTCCACTTCACCTTCAGCATCTCTGTCTTTGAGTCCTCAATTTCCAAAACAGGTGTCCCTTTTGTGGTCACATGAGCACCCCATGATTTTCCTCCTGCTCTTTCCCTTTTGTCTTCTGCCTTCTTTCCAACATACTCTTTTCTCTAATTGCAGTTCCAGATTTCCTTGGAAATTTAGAGGGTGCGGGGCATAATACAGAGGTTTCCTTTAGAAGGAATATTAGTGAAAAAGAGAAATTACTTCAGCTTTTTAACCTACTCCATTTTATTTAACCCTTACAACATCCTCTGGTCTAGGCATTATTATGTATATTTGCTGGATGAGGAAAGTGCAGTTCAGTGACACACAACAACTTGGTGAAGTCAGACAGACAGTAAGGGTAGAGCTAGAACTTAAACCAAGGTCCAGGTGACGCCAAAGTCCATTGTCATTTCACTGTATCGGCCTGGCCCACTTGGTAGGGAAATGCTGTTTTAGTAAAGGGAGTGGCAAGTGCAGGTCTGGTCCAAGGCTGAGAGCGCAGGGCACAGCCCACATACGTCTTACAGGTCTTCAGACGCACACAGGGGTCCTACATAGAGAGCTGCCGCTTCTGACTTTCTCACATCTCATAGAGTCTTCGTTTCAAATGCCTTAGCCCTTGGGAGGTACGCCCAGCCGACGCGCGATTATCCGTGACCTTGGAGGACAAAAGCGGCAAGCGGCACAGTCCCGCCAAGTGCGACAACTTTTAAAACTCTCACTGCAGCCGCTAGTTCCAACTTCCTTTTCCCACCAAGCTTTTGATGAAAGCAAGAGCAGGGGTTCCTAGTGTCAGCATCTCTGATTTTTCTGTTCACTGCCGTGGGTTGGGGGAGAGAGGCTGGGGTTAACCGATACTAAAGGAAAGAAGGGGGCAGAAGTAGGAAACCAGGTGGAGGAGAGCGCCTGGGATAGGCTCCAGATGGCTTCGCAGGCTTCTCTTCTTTTCCTTCCCTGTCCTGAAACATGGGAATCCCACCTCTTCTCTCCCCGTCCCGCATCCATTTTCCAACAGCAGGTGTGGAGGCACGAGTGGGCTCTCTCAAGACCACAGAGTAAGTCTCTGGTGGAGCCGAAAGCCTCACTCAGACGCCTCCCAGCCTGGGCCTCTACAGCTCTCTTTGAACCGTTCTCAGCAATGTACCTGTCTTGTTGGTTTCCCACCTTCCTCGTCCCACGGAGCCAGTCTCTTCGCTGTCATTAACCAGTAGCAAGCGGTCTTCAGGACAGTCTCTGACCGGTGAACCGAGAGCCAGTTTTCAGATTGTGCCCATTTTCACTGACCATGGAATCCACTCAGCGGATCGCCTGTTTCCTGAGCTCCCTTCAGATGCAGAGGCTGGAGGAGACGGACAGGATGCTACTTCTGCCAGCTTCCAAGGAGCTTCCTACCAAGGCTGCCGCCATTTGGTGAAGCCTGTCCCTAACGACCCTCACTCCGCCTCATACCTGAGAGTATTGTTATTTAGTATGGCCGTGGATGCGGTGGCCTTCGTTTGTTAATGGTTTAGTCCTTCTCTGTACTATATTATTAAAGAATGTAACCCCTTCGTTTTTGCCTGGCCCCAACTTTCATAGAATCATGGAATGTTGGAGAAAGAACTTCAGAGACATTTAGTCCAATCCCTACTGAAGAGATCTTTTTAGAATATGCCTAACCAAGGGCGATGCAACCTCTGAAAGTTTTCAGCTGGAGCATCATTGCCTCATGAAGCAATCTGAGCTGTTGGGAGGCACTTCTAATAATCTGACTCTTCTCACTGAATCAGAGTCTGTCCTCTTGTAGCCTCTACGCGCAGGTGCTAGGCCAGGCCTCTGACGTACAACCCAGCCACACTTTTTCCATCCAGATGCCTTCAATAACTGTAGAAAGTTTTCATTCCCAGACCCCTCAGCTCCCATTCCTTCAACTTTGCCTCCTTTGATATGGTTTCCAGGCATTTTATGACCCTGATTATCCATCACGGAGAGACGCTCCGGTGTCAGGCCGACCAGAGTCTGGGTCCCATCACTGCCATTTGCTCGTACATGGCCTCGGGCAAATCTGAGTCCCCAGGTTCCTCAGTTATGAAGTGGGGATGTCAGTGGTGCTAGTCAGTGAGTTCGCTGACTCAGAGAGAGTGCTGGCACAGTGCCTGGCAGGGACACAGCAAATGCACACGAGAAGAGAACAGTTTTTATTCTTGCCTATGCTAGACAAACAGTCCGTGTATGTCATGACCAGCACAGATGAAATCCTCCTACCCCTTCCCCATCGTTGGGACATCGCACTCATACTACAGGTTAGAATCCGACTTGGGGTCACCTAAACAACTACTTTTTTGTTTGTTTGTTTTGTTTTGTTTTTTTGAGTGAGAGAGAGGAGGGAGTGAGCACGCGTGCACACACACACACACACGCACGTGGTGGGGAGGGGCAGAGGCAGAGGGAGATAGAATCTCAGGCAGGTTCCACGCCCAGTGCAGGGCCCAACGCAGGGCTCGATCTCACAACCCTGAGATCATGGCCTGCACCAAAATAAAGAGTCGTGCGCTCGACCAACTGAGCCACCCAGGCGCCCACAACTAGACTTTTTGTGTAGGTTTGTCAAGTAAGGTCTCCCGTTGTGTATCGATAGGTTTTGAAGGCCAGTATAGAACTTTATCTTTGATGTATGCAATCATATCGACTCATGCTCTTTTTCCAATGTGGGGAGGGTGTTTCGAACTCACAGATTCATTCGTTCCCTGAATACTTACTATGTGCCCCATGGTTCTAGGACGTGGGGATATAGCAGTGAACAAAACAGACAGTCCCTGTTCTTACTAATCTTCTCCAGTAAGGGAGGACAGACCAACACATGTCAGGAATAGGAAGTGCTATGAAGAAAAACCAAGCAGGGTGGGGGGGACGATATCTCACTGGGGGTGGCCAAGAGGCTCTTTTCCGATGGGGTAAGGTTGGAGCAGAGGCCAGCGGTGAGTGAGGCAGTGAGCCGGGCACACACCTGGTGGGAGGATGTTTCAGGAAGATTCTGGAATGTGTTGAAGTCTTGTCCATTTCCTTAGGTCTTCCTGCCCTACCCAAGTCTTCCCTCTTCCCCTAAAAAGTAATACAGAAAAAGAGACCTTTAAGGCCTAAACCCAGTTTGGGTTTGGTGGACTTACTGGGGAAAAGCAAAACAACCCCAAACTTGTTAAGGGGCACAACTTGTGTGGGAAAGGACAAGAGTAAAGGAGGGAAAGGAAGCAATGTTTCTCTGCATTCATTCGTTCGTCGAGCAGATACGTACCAAGAACCAGCTCTGCATTTTTAGTGCTGGTGAGACAGAAATGAGCAAGAGAGAAAGAAACCCCAGTTCCCGTGAAACTTATTCTCTAGTGAAGTTACATCTCTTGTAGTAAAATTATATACGTGTGTGTGTCACTGCACGTGAGAGAGAGAAGACGTGAGAAGAAAGTTAAGCAGGGCTAGGACTCGTGGGAAGAAGGTTGAACTTTTATGTAGGGCGGTCAGGGAAGGCCTTACTCTGAAGGTGATATTTGAGCAAAGAGCTGATGTTTTCCACAGTCCCTATTTCCTCCTCTTTAAAATACAAGTATTTTTTTAAAAAATAAGTAAAATTAGAATAAAATACAAGTATTTGGAGCTGGGAGCTGAAATCTGGAACATAGTTTTAAAGTACTCAGATCCAGATTTCTTTTTACCTCCTCCCCCCGTTTACCACCCTTGAATGCCATTCCGTGAGCACGAGCTCACCGCACACCCTGTACAGATGCCATGGAACGTTCTGAAACCAGACATGGCCCGTGCCCGTGTGTGTTGTGTAATGGTTGAGGTAAAAAGGTGACTTCATAACACAGGGCAGCTTTACGTGAGACACAAATCAGTAAGAGGGAACCAAGTCCTGGAGTCCTGGGAGGAGGCGGAGAGAAGAGTGGGGAGTTGGGTGGGGCACTTCAGGGAAGGCTTCCTGGAGAAGAGAAGGGTATCGTCCAGTTTGGTGGGAAGGAACAGCCCTGGGCTGGCTTGCGGCATCTCCCAGAGAGGGGATGTTCCTGAGCCTAGGCGAGCTCGTGATGATGCCGCGCGGGCTCCGTCTCAGGTTACCTTGGCTCTGCAGAGGGCTTGGTCTGGACGAGGGGTTCAGGTCCTCCTGGCTTGACGCATCTCTCGTCTCCACCTTCAGATGTGTCCCCAGTGGTGGCTGGCCTCGTCGGGGCATCAGTGCTGGTGGTGTGCGTCTCGGTGACCGTCTTTGTGTGGACATGCTGCCACCAGCGGGCAGAGAAGAAGCACAAGACCCCCCCGTATAAGTTCATCCACATGCTCAAAGGCATCAGCATCTACCCAGAGACGCTCAGCAACAAGAAGAAAATCATCAAAGTGCGGAGAGACGAAGACGGCCCTGGGAGGGGAGGCGGGCGCGGGAGTGTGCTGGTAGATGCCGCCGAGGCCGGCCTGCTGGGCCCCGACCGGGGTCCCAAGGGCCCGGGCTCTGGTTCTTGTATGGACCAGTTACCCATCAAGATGGACTATGGGGAAGAACTAAGGAGCCCCATTGCGAGCCTGACCCCCGGGGAGAGCAAAACCACGTCTCCGTCATCTCCAGAGGAGGACGTCATGCTGGGAACCCTCACCTTCTCCGTGGACTATAACTTCCCGAAAAAAGCCCTGGTGGTGACGATCCAGGAGGCCCACGGGCTGCCAGTGATGGACGAGCAGACCCAGGGCTCTGACCCTTACATCAAAATGACCATCCTCCCTGACAAGCGGCATCGGGTGAAGACCAGAGTGCTGCGGAAGACACTGGACCCCGTGTTCGACGAGACCTTCACCTTCTACGGCATCCCGTACAGCCAGCTGCAGGACCTGGTGCTACACTTCCTCGTGCTCAGCTTCGACCGCTTCTCCCGGGACGACGTCATCGGGGAAGTCATGGTGCCGCTGGCTGGCGTGGACCCCAGCACGGGCAAGGCACAGCTGACCAGGGACATCACCAAAAGGAACATCCAGGTGAGGCGGAAGAGTGCGTCGGGGAGGGCCGGTAGGTTGGTGGAGGTGAGATCTCGGGGAGCAGATGGAAGGGCGGGGGACACGTGGATGGCAGAGAGGAGCTGTAGGTAGGAAGCTCATGGCTGTCAGGGATCAGCGGGGGCCAGAAGGAGACAGAGGGCCTCCTCGAAAAGGAACTTCACAGGGAAAGAGGGACAGGTGGGCAGCTTCTGAAATTTCTCTTCATGGTGGGCGTCCTGATGCTAAGCCCAGGTTTCCTGGGGCAGACTCGCCCCCACCAGACCGGGACATGGGGGCCAGTTTCTTCTCCCAAGTTGTGTCTGATCCAGGGAACCATGATGGGGCTTCAGTAATTCTGCTCCCCGTGTCCCTGTCTGGCCCCAGCCAGGTCACATGGGGGGTCTTCCTATAGCCTTTCCTCCACATTCAGAGGGGAATGAGAGCCCACCTCCCTGCCTTCTCTCCACAGGGCCAGCTCGGGCTCCTGAGTTGTAATTTTGGGGGTGCCAGAAACGCCCCACCCTTGCAAGTTCTTGCGTTTCTTACACAGCTGGGGTGGGGGGCAGTGTGGTTGTCAGCTGAGCACTCTGGCCACACGCCCCAGCTCACCGCTTCCCAGCCAGGAGGCACAGGGAGGTACAGAACCCTCCTGGGCTTCTGGGTCGCCATCCGGGAAATGGAGCTGAAAACACCGTCCTCCTCAGACCGGCTTGAGGGCTAGAGGAGACGATGTGTTTGGCACCTTGTTGCCCTTAAGGACCTTGACTCCCCTGGGGGAGAGACCATCTGAGCAGCCGCCACACAGAGAGTAGGGGCCTCGAAAGACATTGCTGGCTTTTCAAATTCAGACTTTCAATCCTGTTTCAAGGTACAACCTAAGTAGCTAATAACAAGGGCTTTGAAGTCAAAGCCAAGTTTGAGTCCAAATCTCGCCCGCTCCCTGAGCTCGGCTTAGCAACTCTGATGTCAGGCTCCCACAGGAACAAAGCAAGAGGATACGTTTGCACGGCCCCTCATGCGCAGCGACCCTCCAGGAAACCGGTCCCACTGCTGGTGGTATTGCCGCTGTTTCTGCTGTCGGGGAGGCTTGGTCCCCGGGAGATGTATGTGGTTCGCGGATGTTTATGTTGTGTTTGCAAAGTAAAGGAAGGCAGGGGAGCCTGAGTCACTGGAGAAGGAGGGGAGGTTCAGAAAGGACATCAGAGCCACTGAAAACTACCGCCCAGAAAGATCTGTGGCTCAAAGGCTTCTCCCGGTGCCCACCTGCAAGCCCACACTGGACGCGCTGGCAAGGCAGGGCGCGCGGGGCCGGATGGGAGAGGCTGCGTGCGTGAGCTCCAGGCACAAGCTGTGCCCTCGACCGGGGGGCTCTGCCCCTCATAGTGTGCCACAGGCCCTGTCCCCCTGCCCGGTGAACCACGGCTGTCGTGGGGCACACCCAGCGGTGCCTCACAGCGGCCCAGAAGCCCAGGCGGTTTCAGAGTATTAGAGGGGTTTGGTCAGGGCATAAGCACGGGTCCAAGGCCAGGACACAAGTTGCTGTCCTAGAGTCCAACACAGCAAGGGCTCTTGTATCCTCTGGGGTTGGGGTCAGAAGCCCCAGTAGACACCGTGGCAGTGACCTGTTTTCATCCCACTCAGTCCCCTGCCCCTTGCCTGCCTTCTCTTTCCTCGGGGTTCCACCAAGCCCTCCTGGCTCCCTGACCCCCCTTTCCAGCAGCTCCACACTCCCCCACCTGCCTTCCTCCCGCGGCCTGAGCCGTCCTTCCCCAGAGCCCCAGCCTTGCTGGAGCCCCCAACTGGCCGGACGACCCCAGACGGCTCATGCTCTCATAGCCAAGTCCGAAGGCAGGCAATGGCTCTGTGCCCAGCTGCAGCTGGGAAGAAACCGGCCAGGAAAGGGACTGATTTGGGCTGGGAACAAAACAGCCTCGAATCCAGGACACTGGCCAGGGAGTGCAGACAATGGCATTTGCTGAACTGCCAGGGGCTTTTGGCAAGAGCCAAGTTTCTTTCCACTGAATTAACTCCCTTCAGGAGGGACAAGCTAGGACGAGGATCCTGGGCCCCCGGGAAGAGGCCCAGACAGGACATACCGAGGCTGTGCGGCCCTGCACCAGAGCCTTCCAGCCTCCTGGACGTCCTGAGCGTTTCCCGAGCTGGTGCCTGTGGGCAGGATCATGGCTGTCACCACACTGGTCTGGCCGCCGGTCCCCAAGCCTCCCTGCAGTGCAGCCTCTGCCCGTCTCCCCTGGTCCTCTCTGCCGAGGCCAAGAGTCTGCCCTGTCCGGATCTCCCCTGGGCTCACCAGTTACAGCTGCTCCGAGCCACTCCACACTCTGTAGAGAGCCGGCTGGTCTGTGGGAGGCATCCCCTTCTGATGCGGGGCCACAGTAGCCTCTCCCTCCCAGAGGCCCGGGTGGGGACTGCTGGGAGTTACACTTCTCTCCATAACATCCCCCTGAACTGCATTTCCCCTCCTTAGCAGAAAAACTGCCTCGTGTCCTTTCCATTACCCACTGCAGAGAAGCCAGGGGCTGGCCATCCTCCCTGACCCTTCCATCTCACTCCTTACCCGGGGCCAGCGATCGCGGTCTCTCTGGGTCTCATCTGGGCTGGACCGTGAAGGCTGGCGGGATCACTGAGAGCAGTTTCAGCGCTTATGAACATACAAGACGTAAGAAACATTAGAAATTAACCCTTAATCATGAAGGAAAGATCCCAGTATACATTTTATAATGCCCCAAATTTCTGATCTCTCTTGAGATCTCTGATCTCCAAAACTAGCTTTTTTTCTAATATTTTATTCGGATAGACCTCTTTTTTAAGGAGGCTCTACACCGAACGTGGAGCTTGAACTCACAATCCTGAGATCAAGATATCCCCCTCTTCCGGTTGAGGGCGCCAGCGGGCCCCTTGGATAAAAATTAACCTGAATTTACATTCCCGTGATAAATGCCGTGTGGGGAGAAGGGAGACTGTCCAGAGAGGGCTAGGGGATCGCACACCATCCTTAGAGTCCCCCAAGTTTCTTGAGGTCATTGTTTTCCAGATCACTTCCTATCCTTGCTGGGCCGCATCTGGTGTTGATGGCCTGCGACGATGGTCATGGGAATGACCAGGATTCTTAAAATCTCAGATTTGTGAGGAACCTGAGAGGTTCCGCAGCGGAGCCAAAAGGGGCTGAAAAAAAACAAGCCAGGAAGAGAGGAGCTGTGCTAGCGCGCTGGGGAGAAGGTGCGGGCGTGTCAGAACAGGGTGGGTTTTGTGTCTCTTGTTTTCCCATGACTGGGATCCCTGGGGAGGTGGTCCTCGGACTTCTGGCCCCAGTGAAGGTGCGTTGAGGGTGTGCAGGTCCGCCTCGTGCGAAGGCCGTGGGGCTGGACTGTCACTCGGGAAGGGGCTCTGCTGCTCACAGGGAACAGCCTCACCCGGGCCCGTCTGAGCCCCCTACCCCAGCGCGACCCCCACCCCCGCGCGTCCTCCCAGGCCTGCGCACCTGCTCCTCTTCGGCGGGGGAGGCCGCGGGCGGAGAGCGAAGCCTCCCAGGTCTTTCAGGCGTGGATAAGACCCTTTCTCCTCCTGTGCTTCTGCCTGCCTCCTGAGGCGGGGTGGGGGGGCTGGGAAACCGAGCCCCCAGCCCCGGACAAAGAGCCCTTGAGAGAGACCCACTGACGATGCTACTGCGGTGGGAAGTGGGCGGAAAGAGAAGGGGGGAGGGGACGCGCATCTGGCCTTCCGTGCAGAGGAGCCGCATTCGGGAGGTGGGACCGGCCCTGTGAGATGGCCAGAGGTGAAGGGGGGGTCCGATGGACAGCAACTGCCGAGGGGCGATTTTAGGGGAGAAAATCACTAGAAGGGCGACCAGCAGTTGTCCACTTACCCAAAGCAAGGGAAGGGGTGGGGGACTTGGATGGCACAGACTGTGCTATCTTCCCAGTGGGTGAGTTTCAAAACACCCTTTTAACCAAATAATTAGGAAATCCAAGCTATAATTTTATAGTTCGTGCTTTTTTTTTTTTTTTTAAACAAATAAAACTTTTGGAGGTTTTTTTTGTTTGTTTTGTTTGGTTTTGGTTTTTGGGTTTTGGTTTTTTATTTTATTTTATTTTATTTATTTGATAAAGAAATCACAAGTAGGTAGAGGGGCAGGCGGGGCGAAGCAGGCTCCCGATTCGGGGCTCCGTCCCAGGACCCTGAGATCATGACCTGAGCTGAAGGCAGATGCTTCACCACTGAGCCACCCAGGTGTCCCAAATTTTTTTAAAAGTTAAAAATAAGCCGGGGTGGGGGGACAAAAGAAGCATAGATAAATAAAACCAAAAAATAAGCTAGAAACACAAGAAATTGCCTCCATTTCAGCGAGCTCTTCTAGAGACGTGTCCTGCCCGGTGCTCACTCTGCTGCGGGTGCCCCAGGTCCCGTCCACAGCCTGAGACAGCAGCCTCTGGGCCCGTCTCCCCTCCAGTTCATTCTCCAGCTCTCGCTAGAACAATGCTAGTCCCTGTAAAACAGTAATACAGTAACAACTGTGTCCCTCCTGTGCTGGCAGCCGTCACCCCTGGCCTGTGCCCTCTGCCATTTGGTCAGAAGCCCTACACTCAGCCCTGAGGTCAGCCGGCGAGCCCTGCCCAGGGTCCCCCAGTAGCTCTCAGCCAGGCTCCTCACTGCTCTGATGAGGGCAGGTGTGTTTCTCTCAGTCTCTTCTGGGCCTGGTAAGCTCCTTGGGGGCAGGAACCGGATCCTGGGCCCCTGGCTGGCTCAGTCACTGGAACCTGCAACTCTCAGTCTCGGGGTTGTGAGTTCGAGATCTACGCGGGCATAGAGACTACTTAAAATTTTTAAAAAGAGAGAAAAAAATGAAAAAGAAAAACAAAAAGGAGCCAGGTCCCATCAGCTCCAGACCCCCAGCACCCAGCACGTATCCAAGTATTGTTTAAAATGCCCTTGCAGAGGCGCCTGGGGGGCTCAGTGTGTTAAAGCCTCTGCCTTCGGCTCAGGTCATGATCTCAGGGTCCTGGGATGGAGCCCCGCATTGGGCTCTCTGCTCAGCGGGAGCCTGCTCCCCCCCCCGCCACTGCCTGCCTCTCTGCCTGCTTGTGATCTCTCTCTCTCTCTCTCTGTCAAATAAATAAATAAATAAAATCTTTTAATAAAAAATAAAATGCCCTTGCAGGCTGGACAGTGTTTTCCTTTCCCAAGCAGAGCGTAGAGTAAGATTCAAAGAGGGGAGCCCCAACCTGTGGGCACCTGGGAGGAAGCCAGCTGGGCTGGACAAGACACGGGCAGGCAGGACAGTGCACGCTCCCCGTGTGGAACGGAGGGACGGTCCCCAGGAAGTTTAGGAACCTGCCCAGGCCAGGGGTGGTGAAGGCTCAACTCCGAGTCCCCTGCTGTCCACTGTCCAGGCTCTGTTCCCCCGAGAACCGAAGGAGGCTCCGGGAGAGAACACGCTTCTCTAGGCGCTGGTGCAGGTAAAATTTTACCCGTTTCAATTTCTTTAGTCGTCTCGATGCTCTGAGGTCGGCACCGGTTTCATCTGCACTGTCAGGCAAGGAAACGGGGGCACAGAGCCGTCCAGCGCTTGTCCAGGTCGCACGGGGCGGGTAGCGGCCGGACTGGGATCCGGACCTGCACGGCCTCAGAGTCACGCTCGGGAACACCAAGCAAGCAGACGGTTGCATTTAGTGTCGGGCTGTAATGAGGATGTGTCCGTTTCCCCTGCCCGTTGAATGGGACCGTAACGCGCCGGCGGGAGGCACACCTTCCATGGCCCTGCGCAGCCCCTCCGGCCTGGGCTCCGCACCCCCGCTGCCCCCACCCCCTCGCCAGGACGCTCACCTGCTGTTTCCTCTTCACAGAAGTGCATTAGCAGAGGGGAGCTCCAGGTGTCTCTGTCCTACCAGCCCGTGGCACAGAGACTGACCGTGGTGGTCCTCAAAGCCCGGCACCTGCCGAAAATGGACATCACCGGCCTCTCAGGTAGCAGCTATTCACCTCGACCTGCCTCGGGCCCCCTGGCCCCACACTGTCCCACCTGCACCCCACACGCCCTCTGGTCCCCTCCCCAGTCACGGGTTCTAGCTGTCCCTAGCGCGGGAGGTGCCGTGGGTGGGCGGACAGGGCTGGACATTCGGTGAGGTGCACCCCGCGGGGTGCATGCCAGCCACTGAGCCCCTGCTGCAGGGGACACAGACCTCCCCACAACCCTGCCGGCCTCCGGGAGTCCCTGCGCCCTGGAAAACACTGCCCAGTGTCACAGGCTTTCCTCAGTCCTGACTTGGGCAAGTTGTTCTGCTGTGTTCCGGGGTGCCCCAGGCCCCGCGCCCACCCGAGGTCAGGTGTGTGTTTGGTGCGCAGTCCCCGGAAACCTGTGTGAGTGGTCACCACGGACAGGAGCGCACCCCCCTCCCCATGAAGCTGCCATCCGAGGGGAGGACCGTGTCATGGGCCTGTCTCCCTTTTCTCTCTGGTGGCCCCAGATCCTTATGTCAAGGTGAACGTCTACTACGGCAGAAAGCGCATCGCCAAGAAGAAAACCCACGTGAAGAAGTGCACTTTGAACCCTGTCTTCAACGAGTCCTTCGTCTACGACATCCCCCCCGACCTCCTGCCTGACGTCAGCATCGAGTTCCTGGTCATCGACTTCGACCGCACCACCAAGAACGAGGCGGTGGGAAGGCTGATCCTGGGGGCACACAGCGTCACCAGCAGCGGCGCTGAGCACTGGCGGGAGGTGTGTGAGAAACCCCGCAAGCCGGTGGCTAAGTGGCACAGTCTGAGCGAGTACTAGTCGTGTCGTCCTCGCCTGGGCCCGGGCCAGGCAGGCCGACGGGGACGGAGATGCCACACAGGAGCGGACTCAGAACCTCATTTTAGTTGTAGAAGATTTCTTACAAAACACACCCCACAAAGAACACCCCACATGACCACAGCTGCAGATCAGTTCTTAGCGATGACGATTTTTCTCCTTTGCAAGGCACTAGAAATCTTTTTTTTTTTTTTTTAATGGGGAGAAAGAGAGGGAAAGGCCTCACAAGTCTATATATAACAATGTAACCTTATACTTGCATGTCTAATACAAACTGAAGAAATTAGCCTAACTGCCAATATCAAGTTACAGATTTTGATCCATGAAAATTGTGTTTTGTGCCGAATTGTATTTGCTGATTCCCTAAAATTGGCCTCTTTTTTATTGGGCTTCCCTGGAGAGTGACTCCCGCCCCCAGCTCTGCAGAAGGATGTTGTTTTGCTCATGTAAAACCTTGTAGCGTCGCCATCCCCGTCGGATGCCCCCCTCCCCAGCTCTGCTCTTTGAGCTCAGGGTCCAGAGGTCTGTCGTGAGCCAGGAAACGGAGGTGGGCCGAAGGAGGCTGGGTGTGCAGGCGGAGATCTGGGACGCGGGCTTCTCGCTGCCCCGCTCCTGCTGGAGGGCTCAGGGGCAGCCCAGGGTTAACTGGTGCTGGAGCCCATGTGCATGGCAGGCTTGGAGGTAGAGCCCGGGTCTCCGAAACAGGACGTTTGTCTGGAGAGAGCTTTGGAGCCTTCCAGTCGGGCTAGGGTGGCTCCGGGGGCCAGGGGTGGCCGAGCCCAGGTGCTGTGTGTGGGTGTGGGCAGGACGGCGTGTCCGCCCCCACCTGACAGCAACACGGCCAAGTGACTGCCTTTTGCTGGCATGAAGGGTGAACTGGCCTTTATTGTTCCAGAAGTGCTGACCCAGGAGACACTTTAGAGTTTTATCAGGGAGCGGAGATGAGATCTGTTCTGCTTCCTTAGGAAAAGGGCTTCAGAAATTACCGCTTATCCTGGAAGTTTTCACCTGTGGCTCTTCAGCCTAGAGAAGGGAGTAAACTCGAGCACAGGCGTGGTCAAGGTGACCCGGCTTCGTCTCCCGTCCTGTCCCTCAGCAGGGTGCTTAACAGAGCCCTGGGTCCTACTCAGCATCGAGACCAGGGGAAGGGCTGGGGGAAGCACGCGGATCTATCCCCTCCCGCCGGTGGCAAGGGCACCGGGGTCTCCGCACCCCTGGTCGGCCCCGGCTCTCCCGTCAAGACCCATCGGAGGGCAGAGCCCAGGGGCGGAGGGACAGTCTGCCAGCGTGTCCAGGCAGCAGATCCCGCTGGCGGCCCGCAGAGTGGCTTGGATCAGCAGCTGGTGGAGCCGAGGCCTGGACAAGCAGGTCCACACCCGCATAAGAGCACCCCTTCCGACCTGCTTCCGAGGAGGCTGGGTGTCTGCAGACAGAGCGATGGGGCCTGTGACATTCTCTTAGCTCTTGTGCATTTAAGACCAGTCTGCTCCCTCCGTCCTTCTGTTGTTCTCTTTTTAAAACCTGGTTCCGAGCGGGGCTGAGCAGCTCGGAGCAGGCACAAAGACCACTCTGTTCTTGACCTCGCTCCCTGCTCCCCTCCCCACACCCTTCATCTGACTCGCGATCCCATCAGTATCCACGCCACCGGTCTCTATCCTATACTCCATCGAATGTAAATACTGTATCATACGTAGAAGAGAATTTTCGTTTTCTAAAAATGCATTTTGAGATAGTTTAGTGTAAATCTGACAGGAGCATTCTGAAGCCCCCTTAGGAAAAAATCTTAAATGCTTCCTCTTCATCGCCTTAATGTCTGAAGGTCAGAAATCGCTGAGCAACCCGCTTTTGTTTCCTTCCCAGAAACACTGCAGAGCAAACAGGTGGAGATAGTCTGGTCTTTGCCCTGCTGCGTGTGCCCGGGCAGCTCCTCCCGCTGGAGGTCTGGGAAGGCCGCCTCCCTTGACCCTCTCCTTCCACCCCCCCCACCCAACCCCGCACGCCCTGGGCTGTGGAGCGGCGGGAGGCCAGGTGACAGGGTGGGAATGGGCAGACAGCACAGGGCTCCTCCCTCCTACCTCACGCCTGATCCATCAGCCCTTGGCTTTGCTGTCCCGAAGTCTCTCAGCTGCCTTTGGCTTTCACACGGCCCCGCCCAGAGCCGGCTGATCCGGCCCAGAAGCCAAGCCGCCTCCCAAGAGTCAGTTGAAAGACAAGAGAGTCTCACGCGAGCTTTTGCACAAGGCACTCGTGGTCAGGAACGGGTTAGGGAACGGTCACTTCGGATTTTCCAAGAGCCGGGCCTTCTCTGCTGGTATCTTGGTTCCTTTGGGAAGACAAGAGTTTCTCTTAATAGCAAAAGTCCCTTTATGAGTTACTCCTTTCAGTTCTTCTAGTGGAGCACAGCCAAGACGTCCGTGTCCAGGAACGGGCTCGAGCACGAAAGCAGATAGAACCGGCTCGTGGGACGGGAGCGGCTTGCTCAGGACAGGGGATGAGACAGGTCTTTTCTTGGAAGGCTCTTATTGTGGCCGCGATAGTGACAGTGCCCTCACCAGGATCCTTCTCCGACGTGGTCGTCTTTCTTTACCTTGTGTCTTCTCTTGTAAAAAAAAAAAAAAAGAAAGAAAAAAAAAACTCAAAATAAATGTGTCAAAAGAAAAAACCGGAAAAGCCAACGTGAATCGTGTGAAACTTCCTAACGCTGTAATGCTACGCTGCGGTATGTAACGCCCTCTTGTACGTGGAGTTTGCTAGCGCACCACGCAAGTGCAAAATAAAGACCGACTCACACTAAACCCGCAGGCGCGCCCGCATGGTGTTCTTGGGGGCTGGGTGGCCGGGGGCCAAGTCGCGCTCAGATTCCAACGCAATGATTCAGGGCACATTTCCCAGCGTGATCCCCACCCTCCACCCCCGAAAATTCAGATCCCTGGGGCACCTGACCCGCTCAGTCAGGGGGGCCTGCGACTCTTGGTCTCAGGGTCGTGAGTTCAAGCCCCACACTGGGTGTGGATTACTGGAGGAAGAAAAATGCAGATTCCAGGCTCCAGACTTAAGAGTCCTTTCTCTAGTCCTTCTGTTTTCCTCTCAAACTGTCATTCCTAAGACCATCACCAGCAGGAGAGACCCGATGGCTTCAGAGCTCGTTAGCCTATCCATGTAATTGGAAATATTTACCCTCTGCAGCAATGCCAAGAGGGATGATTCTGTTCTCTCCTTCACTCCTGACAAAGCTCTGTCGTTGAGTGCAGATGGGACGCCAGGGTTGGGGGCACACCGACCCTGCGGCGCGAAGCAGACAGTCCCCCCAGTAAATACGCAATCACAGACAGAAGCGCTCCGGGCTCACACACCCCTCGGGGGCACGTCCCGGGGTGCTCGGAGGACCCCTGCACTCCTGAAGCCTGGAACCGTGACTTTTCCTGCCTTCTGTGGAAATCACCCTCCCTGCGTGTATGTGGTTCCCTTCTGGGAGCAGGAAAGGAAGCCCCTACTCTTAAAGTTTCAGTGAAGGAATTAAAACATTTTTTTAAATGACAAAGTAATATAATAAAAATATTATACAAAAGTTGGAAAATAGAGAAAAGGAAAAAAAATTAGTTGGGATTCCCTTCCCAACCTTCCCAACCCTCTGTCTCCTAGTCTTACTTCCTGTGCATTTTTTCCCTGCTGCGTCACACCGCCTGATCCTGTAGAAAACGTGTAAAATAAAGTCCAAGTTCACAGAAGCCAGAAAGCACACCAGTCTCGGGGCAAATCTCACAGCCCTCAGCTCGTCTTGCCATCTGCGAGCTCGCAGACGTCGCGGTCGGGGCGCGCAGGTCAGTCTGCACACTGCTTTTTCCCTAGGTGGCAAATCCGAAAAAAACAATACAATCACACAACAATGATGAGAGCATCCTGGCACTCGGTCAGGATGCTTTTGTCTACGATTAACAGGAAACCCAATTTGAATTGGTTTAAACACCAGGAACACGCACCGGTTCACCCAAATGCAAGTCCATGGGCGCGGCCAGCTTTGGGGCAACTCTGGCAAAAGGCCACTAATCCCGCAAGGGCCCCAGACGCTTCCTGGGGGCCCACCTGACACGCAATGTCCGCTTAACCCTGATGGCTTGGTGGTGTTTGTAGGACCACTCCCAGAGCAAGAGAGATTGCTCAGGGCCACCCCCTAGAGGGCGTCCCGCAGACGCCTCTACCGGTTCTCTCCTCCGCTCTCTCCCATTTTGGAGTGGGCCACGTGGTCACTGCCAAGCAGATCAGGCAAGGAGGATGGGAGTGTCGCTCGGACTGCCCTGGGCCTGGGTGTGGGAAACTCTGGGCTTCTTGAATGAAATGTCATTTCCTGTGGAAGGAGGAATGGGTGCTGGGCGGGCAGCAAACGGGGACCACACTGTTTCCCCTCCAGCACTTGATCTTCTGTAACAGACTCTCAGAGAAGAGCCACTGCCCTCATGCACCTCCCGCACCTTGTGGTTTGACAGGACAAACAGCCTAGCACTTGGGTCCTCTTCAAATGATTCGAGAGCAGGGCACCTACGTGGCTCACCTGTCGGGTGTCCAATAAATAAAATCTTTGTGTTTTTTTTTTAAGGTTTATTTATTTGACAGAGAGAGACAGACAGTGAGAGAGGGAACACAAGCAGGGGGAGTGGGAGAGGGAGAAGCAGACTTCCCACCCAGCAGGCAGCCTGATGCGGGGCTCGATCCCAGGATCCTGGGATCATGACCTGAGCCGAAGGCAGACACCTAACGAGCCACCGGGGCATCCCAGATAAAATCTTAAAAAAAAAAACAAATGATTCAAGAGCAAATCAGTTTAGCCACAGAGCATAAAATTTCAGAAAGCTGAGAACTTTTTTTTAAGTTCATTTAAGTCATCTCTCTACACAACGCAGGGCTGGAACTCAAAACCCTGAGATTAAGAGTTACAGGCTCCCAAAACTGGACATTTTCACGACTGACATTCGCTCACACCAAACCAGTCTCCTGTCTGGCATTTTTCCAAGTTGACACTGCGGAACCCCTACATGTCCTCTTACTCCCACCCGTTCTCCACCACTCAGCCTGCACATCTGACATGAGACTGTGCACCTCAGAAGCAGAGGTGACTAGGGCACCTGGCTGGCTTAGCAGGCACGCGACTCTTGATCTCAGGGTTGTGAGTTCAAGTCCCCACGCTGGGTGTGGAGCCTACTTAAACAAAAAATCAGAGGTCCCCGCAGAACAGAACTGAGCCACCAAGACCTGCGTTCTTGTTGTTATTCGCACGGCTGAATTCCCACCATCGGACAGACACCTGGCATCCAGCAGGTACACAATAAAGGTTTGCAGAATGAAGGAAGACAGCCAGGGGACAAATACTGCCTAGGAAGCAGATCTACGGCAAACACAAAACATCTGTGCCTCTTATTACTGAGTTGGAGTTCCCAAAGAAGCCCGGCGTAGAGCGGAAGCTTGTTTCCGTCAGTCGCTGGGTGTCGGCCGCGGTGCCTGTGTCTTGGCAGCACCCGGCCGCATATGCTCAAGGCTGTCTGGGGATCTGACACCGACGGTGGCCACAGGGTTTTGGCTGGGACTAACCTGGGGGTGCCCGTGCGCCCTCGCGGCCCGCAGAGACTTTGGACTGGAGTATACCTACCTGAGCACGTGTGTGAACTCACCTTCCTGTCCAGCACTGGCGTGCGAGGAAACTGGGGGAAAAGCATGTGACGGCCAGCGCCGCTGTGAAGCTACAGGGTTTCTCCTGGCTCAGAACAAACTGCAGTAAAATCCGCAATGAGCAGCTCTGGGAAGGGAAATGACGCGCCCGCCCAGCAGCTTTTGTCCAAAAAACTGCGTGACTTAATGGTAGATCGCAGGGGCTGAGTTTTTAAGCAACGACTACAGACAAAGCTAAAATGGTTCAGTAATTCCGTCTCCAGGCCAACTCACGTTTAAAAGTGGATTAGAAATTTCAGCGTCTGGGGCACCTGCGTGGCTCAGTGGGTTAAGCCTCTGCCTTTGGCTCAGGTTGTGATCTCAGGGTCCTGGGCTCAAGCCCAGCATCGGGCTCTCTGCTGGGCAAGGAGCCTGCTTCCCCGTCTCTCTGCTACTTGTGATCTCTATCAAATATATAAAATCTTTAAAAAAAAAGAAAAAAAAGGTGCCCAGGTGGCTCAGTGGGTTAAAGCCTCTAGATTTGGCTCGGGTCATGATCCTGGGGTCCTGGGATCGAGCCCCGCATCGGGCTCTCTGCTCAGCGGGGAGCCTGCTTCTCTCTCTCTCTCTCTCTCTGCCTGCCTCTCTGCCTGCTTGTGATCTCTGTCTGTCAAATGAATAAATAAAATCTTTAAAAAAAAAAGAAAAGAAATTTCAGCATCCCCCAAACATTAAGACTTAACAGTCCTTTGTTCATCTGGGATTTTCCTTCCTAACAAGGTAGTTTATTTTTCTTGCTTGTGCCCCAGCCACAGCCCTGGTTTAAACCTGCATCTTCTTCCCGCTTACCCTCAGCGCCACCACATGCCGCTCCGGCAGAGCCTCTTCTGTTTCCGCACCGGGTGACCGCCACCTGTCACGGCTCCACACCGCCCTCTGAAGCCCGTGCAGGGCCCTCAGCATCTGGCTCACTCAAGGCAGCATGGCTGCCATCGTGATCCTCTGGGATTCAGTTAGATCCTGGATCCTATCAGAATCCATCAAATCAGAATCTCCAGAGGATAAGGTAGGAAAAAGCCCGGAACTCTCAGCCATTTCTGATCCAGAGAGCAGACCGGCCCTCGGGGGCCGTGCACACTTCAGACCAGCCCTCAGGGCTTCCCGAGCACTCAGCCCGGCCCCGTGGGTGTCCTGCGGCGGCGTGCTCTGAGGCACAGCGGGCTTCTCTGTGCTCATCCTGCCTAGCCCAGGACCGTCCTGACTCTCCCACTCTCCAGTCCCGCGCTGGAGCCGTCCTACACAGGATGCTCGACTGCTCTGTGGTTCCAAGTCACGCGTCTCCGCTTACTGAGAAATCTTCACGGCCTAATTCTACCTACCAACTTAATCCAAATCCTTCTATGTTTTAATTAGTCGATGTAACATGGTTTTGTTGCATATGAACTGCGCTGCCTCCCGATCCATCGTACAGTCCTGGAAGCAGAAACCACGTGCCGGGAGTCTTTGGTTCCATGAAGACTCACGTCAGCCTAAAGAAGCTAGTCCCGGCGCAGCTCCGACCATCCGGACAGTGACAGGAAACAGGTCTGCAAGGCTCCGAGCACAGCCTGACTCACCTATGCTGTCTGGCTGCATCTTCCTAAAATCTAAAACCCATCCCGCTTTCCAGACCATGCTTGGTCCTGTGCAGCAGACAAGCAGCAGGCCCACTCTGCTCGTCGAAGGACAAGGTGCTTTCTGCAGACGGGAGCGGAGGTGGCCCTCGCTCTCTCCGCCATGCGGGTACAACCCGGGCACGCGGGAAGGGCGCAGCACCGAGCCCTGGGGAACCGGCAAACCAAGGAAGAACAACAAGACTCTGCTTCCAGCTTCCACAGAGAAAAACCTGTCCAAGACTGAGTAAAATACAAATACCCTGTTTTCTCAGTTATTCTAATTTACGCTGTACCTAATTATTTAACACAGTTCTTAGCGGGAAGAAGAGAAAGACAAAATTAACTTGTGCAGCAAAAGCAGTCAGAGGTAGGTGAGGTCAGAGCGAGGGACCTTCATGAGAGAACTCAGGCCTCTGACTACTTCCCTGTGAGGCTAGGCCCCAAGTTTCAATTCCAGCCGAGCGGGGAACGCAGGAACACAGTTCAAGCACATCCTTTAAAGACTGGATTCTAGCTTAGAGAGTGCGCGTGCTGGAGCAGCGAGGCGGGGCCTCGGCCGAGGGCGAGAATCCCAAGCAGACGCCCTGCTGAGCGCTGAGCCCAACGGGGGCCCCATCCACACCCGAGATCATGACCTGAGCCCAGACCAAGAGTCAGAAACTCAACCCACTGAGGCCCCCAGGCGCCCGGTTACAAACTTTAATTTGGAGCAGAACAACCCCCGGAGGACTGCAAATCTGTTTTCAGTACCGAAGCGTCTTCCGAAGCCAAGTGCTCGTCCAGGTGACACGGACTCCTAAAAAGACTTTGACTTTGTCATCCCTCCCAGGAAGGCTGGAAAAGGAGCAACGCTACCAATTACTTGTTAGGAGTTTCCTAAATTTATATAATTTTTTTTTTTAAAGAAAATAAGCAATGAACACTGGAAGTGAGGAGAAACTTCAGAAATCAGCTCGCATGGAACTTCTCCGTTACTCGGTGTGGGTTAAATTCGGCGTTTCCTCGACCTGCCTGCTCTCCCGTTAGCACTCATCGCCCGCTGGACCCAGCCCTCCAGGGTCCTCCCTTCTCTGAAGTCCTGTAGTGTCCCCGGTTGGAAGCAGGTCCTCTGACACGTCAACCTCCAGCTGTTTATGCCGAGTCTGTCAAAGCTCAAGGGCAGGGACACTGTCCAAGCGTCCGAGGCCAGCCCCACTGGTGCACAGGGGTGGCCGTGGACACTGACGGAATCCATGCCTCCCCGACGGGCCGGCCGAGGCCCGGGAACGCCGCCCTCCACCACCCGATTCAGGAGCAGACCCGCTGGCCGCTGCTGACCTGCCCCACACGAGTAACGACGACACAGAAACACATCCCTTTAATGTCCACGGGAAGTCCTCTCCCCAAACGCCGGTGCCATCTCGAGTAGCTGAGACAAAAGCACTGACCTGCACATAAAGCAGTCTCACGGTCTCACTTACTTTCCACGCTTGAAACAGCTCCCACCCTCCATCAGGGGGCAAACACACCGTCATCTCCGACATGTGTTTCCTGTCTCCCCACTTCTCTGCGCACGTTGGGGTCTCAGCAGACCTGCTCAGGCAGCTGCCCAGCCCCCTCCCACCCCACACCCACCCGGGCCGTGAGTTCCCTCTGCCTGGCCAAACTCCAAGGCCCCCCAAGCGTCCCGGCTGCCAGAGCCAGGACAGGGAACAGAGCCTGCGGTGCAGAACCGGAGTCCAGTCCCGGAGCGGTGGGACCCCACTCACGCTCACACGGGACGCCGGCAGCTGGGCCGTGGCGCCACCTCCCTACAGCCTGCCCGCCGGCCCGAGACACAGAGCCTCTGTCTGAACGAGGGGGGCCCCGCGGCACACGCCCTCGCACTCGACGCAGGTGTTCTGCACGTTGTGGGCGCTCACATTTTTGAACCAGTATTTTCCAGAACATAAAATCTCATGGCGTTCAATTTTCTTAAAATGACCTCTGTGCACTGATTCCAAGCATTTCCACCCACACACAGGTAAGTAAAGGAGAAGCCCAACAAGTTGTTTGAAAGTTCTGTATTGTGTCACATAAAGTGTCTTCACGTACACGCACAGAAGGGAAAGGCCACTCTTCCTTCCCCCGCCCCCAAACATCACAGTAGGCCAACTCTTGCTAAAAGAAGACAAAGTTAGACATGTCCCTCCTGAAATCTAACCGTTCATTCTAGAAGTGAGCGTCTAAATTTTCTAACTTAACAATCAGGCGCAGGCATCGACAGTCCCACTGCTTTCAAATGTGTGCCTGAACGTTTCTCTCTCCGACGTTCCAGGCAGTAATTGATTTTAATGCCCTTGACCAGATAAACCTGACGCTTCAGAACTCGTAAGTTACACACTTACCGTCACTAAGAAGAGAACTGTTACCTACACACATCATCCCCCCTCGAACTATTTAGCACCATAAATAGAATTCTCAATACTAATGGGCTAATTAATCCAATGACCATTCGAATATAGGACCCTGTCTTAAAAACATAAATTTGTTACTTTTCTCATACACAGTACAAATTCCCTCCTGTCTTATAGATCTTTCCGGCAATGTTCTCTGCTGCCTTTAATGTCCTGAATGACCACACACCTGTCAAGTTCTTGCCGGACGCCAATTACAATTCCCTCGGTCATCAGTAATGAGAAGTTAAGACATTATGTGTAAAAGGCTTTACGCTAACTTAAATGTGGTGAAATACTGTTAAAATAGAATTGCACTGCATTTCTTTTCTACTGCCACACATCTCTAAAGTGCTGGGGTTCCTATCAGATTTCTGTCCTGCATAAGTTCAAATCCTGAGTCTCACGACTGGATGGCCCGACTACCATAAAACACAATTTGGTTTCAAAAGGGACCATGACCTCGCTAAAAAAGTAGCAACCATCACCTCTTTAAACCTGGAACAGCCATCACCTTGAATAGGAGGAAAAAACATGACAACCCTGTCCTTCTGCCCACCCGTGCAGTTTTGGAAAGCAGTGAGCCGAGGTGTGCACCAAGAGAGGCCGCGGCCACGTTCTTCAGGGTTAAGATGGTCACAAACTTGTCCGGGACACTTAACGTCCAGTCTGCACGTCGCCTCCACACGCCGCTAAGTCCAGACGGCATAAGAATCCTGATTCGACAGAGCGAACTCACCACCCATACAGCTGTTCCTTCCCAGGACACTTGTTTCCCAGCCACGCACAACCATCAAGGGGGTATTCTCTGAGGCTAAGTTTTGTCCAGGCTCAGACATTGTGCAGTGAACTCCACAAGGTCCCTATACAGAAATCTGCAGTGAGAAACTCCACACACAGGAATTCTAGAGCTTCACACCTGGCTCTCAGCACAGAGACGCCCCAGGCTTCTCTGAGCATGGAGTCTAGTGATTGTCTGTGCTGAGGCACGTACATGGCTTTACTCTAACTCCTGATGTCGCTTCCCTACGGACAGGACAATGCAGGCAGTTGACGAAGGACCGAGAAATCGTTCTGCAGGGCCTCCTCTGCGGGAGAGCACAGGGAAGCGCTGGGAGGCACTCAGGTCACCGGACCGGTGCGCGCCTCTCTGGGGGAGCCAATCCACCTGCCCCAGGCCACGGCTGCCCCAACCAAGGGTGTGAACCAGAGTTCAGTGATCCAGCAATGGCTCCCAAAGCCGATGCCTCGGACACTAAGGAAGGGCTAAATTCTGAAAGGAAGAACAAAGTATCTTCCCAGAAGAAACCTTCACACGTTCCACTCACTTCTGCTTGTCCTCACCTCAGTGCGTTTGGGTGGAACGTGCACTTCCCAGGACAGCCAGGCTTGAACTGCGAACATGGTCCCGCCACCACCTCTCCCCTAGTGGAGTCCCACCCGCCCCCCTCTGCTGCCTGGTGTCCCTGATCTCATCAGTCCCTCGTCTGCAACAGGAAGCAGTTCCACAGCGACACCCTGAACCTGGTCTCCGTAGTTTTCGCTGTGTGTCCGGGAAGCACCTGTGAGGAGAAGCGAGGTCCTTCCCTGGAAAGGTGTGGGGTGCCGGAGCTGAAACAGACACGGAGTAGCGCACGGCAAAAACGCCTCGTGCGCTTCGCCGAACACGCACGGTGCAGAGACTCCCCCAGGGCAGAAACATCGACACTAACTAATATCAGGAACAGAACCCGAAACGTTGGTAGATCAAATTCTAATGTGACAATTTACAAGTAGACAGTGCTCTGCTGGGTTAATAAATCAGAATTAGCTAAAAGACAGTATTCTAAACACCACGTCGCTGAAAACTCCCACTGGGCATACCCCCTTCGTCAGTTACATTTAGAGGAACGGTCATGACAGGAGAAGGAGCGAGCACCATGCTCACTCGTGCAGGCCACGGGGTCGCGCGGAGTAAACCCTGCGGTTCACAGGCGAACATGCACATCTTCCCTTCAAGTCACGGAGTCCTTCTTCTTCCGGAAAGGTGATTTCAGCCGCTTCCATACACTGGCTTTGGGTTTAGATTTTTTCTCCATGGCCAGCACTGCCTCCTTTTCTTTCCTGCGTATCTCCCGGACGAGAGCATGAAATACATCATCGATGTAGTAGCGGTATGCAGCGGACGTCTCAAAAAAGGGACAGCTGAATTCTCGGGCTAGAGCCAATCCTTCTTCCTTGGTGACCTTTAAAAAAGTAAACATGGGAAAATGTACAGTGGAAACCAGAGAAAATAATCACAACTGCCCCAAAAAGTGAAAAGCAAAGGGGCTATCTGAACACAAAGAGAGCTCCTCAACTCCGGAGGTGTCCGAGCAGAGTTCAGGTGGGAGGCTGAATCTGGCCTCCTTCTCCCCTCCCTAAAAGTGATTCTACTTCTAATCCATTTTAAGGATAACGTTTTTGGAAAGCCCGAGTGACTCAGTCATTAAGCGTCTCCCTTCGGCTCAGGTCATGATCCCAGGCTCCTGGGATTGAGTTCTGCACCGGGCTCCTGTCCGTCGGGAAGCTTGCTTCTCCCTCTCCCACTCCCCCTGGTTGTGTTCCCTCTCTCACTGTCTGTCAAATAAACAAGTAAAATCTTTAAAAAATTATAAAATAAAACATAACTTTCTGGAACAGGAAGTAGTTACAGATAGGAAGTATGTAATTTTAATTTTTTTAAACTCTAAAAGAAATCCAAAGTCAATATATTCAATTAGGGACACACCATTTCTCCTAAGTCTGAACACTTTTTCTGACTTTTTGCTACCAAAAGCAACCCAGCAACGAATGTTTTATATGTGAATTCCTAGAGAGATTTTCCAACAGGCATTAATTGAGCAGCACTGTGAACTTATCTATTGTCAAACTACTTCCAAAATGTCTGTACCCACTCCGCAGCTTCCACCAGTAGCGGGACCACCAGTGGTCCCAATATGGCTGTCCACCATCCTTCATCTCTACACCAAACAGCCAGATTCTAAACACCGTTGCCAATCTGAAGAATCTGGCTTACTCTAGAACCTTCTGCGATTTCTCTTATTCTCCCCTCCAGGGTGCCCACTGTCAGGGAGTAGTACATCCACAATCATCCCGCCGCAACACAGATTCACCAACTGATCACTTTCTGAGGATTTAGGAACTGAACATTCCATGAGCCTTTATGTAATATGTACTCCATTTGTCGTCTGATTACCGTCCTGTGGATTTTCTCCTGTAAACTGATTTCTAACATCCAGATTTTATCCAAGTTAATTGCAAATCAGTAGACTTAGAGAAATTTTTAAGGTTAGAAGTTAATTTAACGTTTTTATTTTAAAGCAAAGGAATCTATATACAGTGAAATCTGAGACCACACACATTTCTGCTCTCTCCTCACCTGTCTTAGCTGCTTTAGGTCAGACTTGTTTCCTACCAGGACCACAGGGGTATCATCAGTGCGTCGAACTCTGTAGATAAGCTGCTTAAACTCCCGGACCTCATGGAAACTTCGACGGTCGGTGATGGAGTAACAGATGATGAACCCTTCTCCCGCCCTCATATACTGATCCCGCATGGCCGTGAACTCTGCCTGCAGGAGGGCAGGGTCGTTAATGCAATAATGAAGCCTAGAGCTACACACAGGTTAGCTAGGGCTTCAGAGCAAAGAGACATGTATCAATTACCTGCTATCCTGAGTCAGAGGGCATGAAAAATTAAGAGAGATGCACTGGTGATCTTCTCTACGTAAGCCTTCCCCTCCCCTCTAGTAGAGTGAAAACACCTTTTTCTTTTTTTAGACATTTATTTATTTATTTGACAGACAGAAACACAGAGAGAGAGAGGAGCACAGCAGGGAGAGTGGGAGGGAGAAGCAGGCTTCCTGCCAAGCAGAGAGCCCGAAGCGGGGCTCGATCCCAGGACCCTGAGATCATGACCTGAGCCAAAGGCAGACGCTTAACCCACTGAGCCACCCAGGCGCCCTCAAATGAAAACACCTTTACACACAGCATTCGGAGATTTAATACCTGTCCAGCCGTATCCAAAATGTCCAAGTTGGCAGGCTCATCATCAATACGAATCCGGATTTTATAAGCATCTTCTACAGGAGGGAAAAAAGGTGTACTATAAACCCATAAACATAGGAATATTCAATCTTTTTTTTTCTTTTTTTGAGTAGTCTCTAAGCCCAACATGGGGCTTAAACTCAGGACCCCAAAATCAAAAGTCAAATGCTCTATCCACTGAGCCAGCCTGGCACCCTGTAACCTTATTTTAAAATTCATCTTATAGAAAAGTAGTTTACACACAAGTTCTTTAAATGCCCAGGTTTTCTCAGGAATCACACTCAATCCATTGAGATATGTACACTGGGTCTTCAACGGAGGTGTTTTGTATTTTTCACCTAAGTGACGATATAAGTTTACTCCCTCATAATTTAAATTTATAAGACTTTGTCTACAATTCTGAGCTAAAAACAGATTCTTTTCTTTAAAGATTTTATTATTTGACCAAGAGAGAGCAAGAGAGGGAACACAAGCAGGGGAGTGGGAGAGGGAGAAGCAGGCTTCCCGCTGGGCAGGGACCATGATGATCCCAGGACGGAGATCACGACCTGAGCCAAAAACAGAGGCTTAACCCACTGAGCCACCCAGGCACGCCTGAAAACAAATCTCTTTACGTGTATTATTATAATAACCTTGGAAAAAACAAGGAAATTTTTAAAAAGAAAAAATTTTAAAAAAATAAAAAGAATATTTCCATCATTCAAACAATCGTAGTTTACGCCCCAGTGCACTTCAATGATTTTTTCTTGAACCCCTGCTCATGACTGTTCCTCAAAGATCAAGAGTCCACTAAACCAATGTTTCTCAAACTACGGGTGGTGATCCATTAGAATTAGTGAACTGTGAATGAATTTAATGGGTTGCGACCAGCATTAAAATAAATAAGCAGAAATCTGAAACAAAGAAAACGTAAGCGCATACCCCGTGCAGCGACATGAACACAGCTTCCTGATACTGTGCATGTGCGTCTAGTACCTTGCACACACACTCGCACAAGTACTGGCTACGATGCAGTTTTCCTTCTCAGGATTGGCAGCCAGTCTGCAACGAAGCCCCCTGAAGAAAAGGCCCTAAATGATAAGACCCCGTGACACCAGCCAGTGCGTCTTTGTTCAGCACTGAGCGCCGGGGCCGCTCCAGTGCCTGGCACGTAACGGGAACTCAAGACACCTAAGTGTTTGCTGTTGAATCAGGTAATAGTGTCAGAAGAGCAGCCGACCGGAGGGAAAATCAACTGATTAAGAAAAGTAGCTCTTTCAGAGAACACGTATGAGTTTTGCTTTAAAGAAAGAGGAAAAACATCTGTGGAGCTGTAAGTAAATCACCTGAAGTCCTAAACTGCGTTTCTTTCTAGAGCTCCCGACCTAGTGGGGATCCCAACGCGCACCGTCTCACGCAGCACCTCGCGGGCCGCGCGGGCAGCAGAGCCGCAGAGGCCCGAGCCAGTGGATACCCGCCCCGGCGAACCAGCACCAGCACCGGGACCCCGCGTCCGGCCCTGAAATGCCCTGCCCGTCCCCCCCCTCCACTTCCCTTCTTATTCCGGGATCTAACCCCTCAGAATCAAACCCGCTTCCTTACAGTCCAGGGAGAAGAGCGATGTCCTTAGTCTGCGTAAAAAATAGCAACTTTTAAAAAACGGCAACACGAGGCTGTCCGTCCGGGAGTGGTGCGCCAGCGGCGGGGCACCAAGTGCTACACGCGCCGCGGAGACCCCGCTCCGGAGGAACGTGCGGGACTGAGCCGTGAGCGCGAGCTTCCGGGGGCAGCGCGGACGCAGGTCGGAGCCCGCGGGTCGGGGCCGGGCCGGCCGGACTAGTTCTTCTGCTTCCTTCTGTGGGAGCTCAAACCCGCTGACTCATACTCCTGCGGCCGGAGACCCTCAGCGCGGTGACCGCAGGCGGCCCCGCGGCCGCACACGTTCCCCCGCAGCGGGCCGGACAGCCCGGGACCGCGACAGCCGGGACCACAGCGCGGGAGGAGGGTCAGGAGAGGCGGCGGCTAGGACGGCTGCGGCCCGCCGCGCTCCGGGAGGAGACGCCCGCTCTCCGCGGCCGGGGCGGTCCGCGGACGTCGCACAGGGCCCCCGAGACGCTCCGGGCAGAAGCACCCCCCACGCGTCCGAGAACCGCCGCGCAGACGGGTCTACGCAGGGGTCTATGAAGGGGGCTCGGGGACTTACCGATGGTGGGGTCGTGATCTTCGGGGAAGCGGTGGCTGATGAACTGCATGGTCATGGCTTCGGGACAAAACACCACAGTTACACGCGGGGCGGCCCTCGGGAGGCGCGAGCTCCAGCCTCCCCCCGCGGGGGCCGGGGCACCTACCGCTCTTCCCCACGCCGCCGGCGCCCAGCATCACCAGCTTGTACTCCCGGGAGAGGCCGGCGGGGCTGCCGCAGCCGCTGCCCGCGGGGCGCCCCGGCTCCATGGTCCCTCGGGACGCGCACCTGGGAGGGAAGAAAGACGCGCTGCGCCCGGGCCGCCCCCGCGCCCCGGATCCTCCCCGCGCCCCCGGCCCCGCCCGGCGCCCCCCGGCCCCGGCGTCCCCTGCACGCACCCACGGCGCCTCCGGGCCCCTCCCCAGCCCGCGCCGGCCCGGCGCCCCCCGACCCGGCGCCCCTCACCTTCCCCCGGGAGGTCGGGCCGGCGACCCCGCACAGCGCTCGCAGGGACGGCAGTTTCCAGAAGAAAAACAAAAGCGGCGAAACCACTCAGGGCTCCTCCTCAGACCAGAGCGCCGGCAGAGAGGCCAGGAGGCGGCCCCTGGAGCCCCCGGGCCCTCCGCGCGCCCCCGCTCCCGCCCCCGCGCCGCGCTGACCCCGGCTCGCCCCCCCGCCCGCCCCCCGCGAGAATCCGCCGGTGACCTGTGACCCCGCCCGCGGCCGGGGAAGATGGCGCCACCGCGGGGAGGCGGGGCAGCGTGACGCGCGCCTGGTCCCGCCCCCTCGGGAGCCGGGCTCGCGGGGCGTGCGCATGCGCGAGGGGAAGAGGGGCGGTCTTGACCCGGGACGCGGGGGCGCGCACTCTCACTGGGATTGGGTGCTGTTCGTCACAAAACCCGAAACGGGAAGCCGGCAAATCCCCCCCGAAATAGCGCGGACGCAGCTCCAGTGCCGGGGCTCCAAGGGGCCCCGGGAGCGCGGACCCCAGCCGCAAGCGGGACAGTCCACGCTGGCTCCGCCGCGGCAAGAGTGTGCTGGCCCCAGGAACGCAGCGTTCTCCGGCAGCCCCGGGGCGCTCCCAGGGGCTTTCACCGAACTTAGCAGCAAGCACGGCGCCCCGTCCCCCACCGCTCTTCGGGGGGCGCTCGCAGGCGCCAGGAGGAGCTGGCCAGCTTCCGCCCAGCCGTCTGGGAGGGAGGTTGTGAAGGACGCGCGTGTCACCCCCCACGGACCGCATTCGCAGGGGGGCACTAACGTCGGGGGGTGGGGGCGAGTCCATCGGAACCTCCTGGTCTTCATCCGGACTCGGAAGGGCTTACTCCAGGAACTTCGTGCAAACTTGCCAGCCCCCGGCTTCGTTTCCCCGCTGGGTCATACATAATCCTGTCACCCTTATCAAGAGAGGTTTGTAAATCCCAGCGTACGGGTAGGTTGTGCAAGAGAGAATAGAAACCGCAGAGTATTTATACATTTATTTATAATGAAATTATGGTCTAAGTATTTACAACATATAGGAAACCAGAGAATATGTTTATACAAAGCCAGCCTGCAAAGGATTCAAATGTGCAAAAACTGACAGTTCGTATCCCAAACTACTCCCGGTTCAGCAGACTAGCTCCTCCTTTCACACATCAGTATTTGATACAAAAAAGTTCTTTTGGCAAAACCTGTAATGTCATGCCAAGAAAAAGGACAAGTTGCCATTTCGGTCACTAAGTCCACCATCCGTCCTATCGTGAGCAGTCAAATCTCTACTTTGGCTGCGACCAGTTCTGAGACAGACCACTGTGTTTCACTTCTGTGCTGAGTTCTGACCAGCTTTGGATCAAGCAGTTTTCTCGGACCCAGCTGAAGACACGGAGCTTATGAAAAGGGCAATAAAAACTGCAATGACTTTCCGGGACTAGAGAGGCTGCGGGTGCCTGCTTCGTATCATCCCAATAAAAAGACATAATGAAGGGGAAAACCCTCCATTTTCCTACGCAGGATCCAGCTAAATCCAACAGCTTTAAATTAGTAAAACTGCATTTTCCAAAACAGAAAAGAATGCAAAAATCAAATAAGGATGAACTGTTCTTAAAGGTGCAGAAAGGGAAGGATGGACTTAAAATCATCTCCACACTAATACACAGGAAGGCTTTGTTTGTAACCAGTTGTCAGCAAAATGGACCAAACAGTAGTAAACTACAAAGAAAACTTTCTTTTTGTCAGAACTGGGGTCATTCCTGTGGAAGAGGCTGGACAGGTCAACTGTACACTGGAGGCCCTGCTGGGACGCTGCACAGGTCGACTGTACACTGGAGGCCCTGCTGGGACGCACTGGGCAACCACATTTCACCGACGTTTAAAGAGCTTCTGAGACAAGTTTGTGATTCTAAGTAAATTTTAAGATACTATGCCACTGCAGAAACAAGGACGTTTAAAAAAGAGACCCCTTTAAGAAAGGGGACACTGCATCTCTAACTTCTGCAAAGGTCCATGATGGTTCCCAGTACAGGCCCCAGAGTCTTATTAAATCAAATGCATGCATTATTGCTAAAGAGAGTCACCGAGGGTCAAAGCTCCGTTCCGCTGTCTCCTATGGGGCCATCCAGAACGGCATCTGCTGTTTAGCTCGTGGTTGCGATGAAGGGTACTGATACCCCAGACTCCAGCCCTGTGGAAAACTACTTGCATTTTTATGACCCCCGTGCTCCTCTTCTTCGTCAGACGAATCTGCAGCATACGCCACCAACCCGAAGCCCTTCTCTGCAGTTTTCATCTTCTTGACCGGATAATCTAGAATAGAGAAGAACAACCCCAACCCATCCCCCACCGAGACAGAAAAAAAAAAGATACCATAAATTCGTTAATAAAAAAAAAGATGTTAATTGTAAGTGGTTAGTTGGACACCATTTTGAGGTCACAGGGTCAATGGTCACCCAAAAACGTTGAAGATCACACGAAAAACAGCACCAGCATCAGCAAATGTGAATCCACCAGAACCATGTAAGAAAACAGAGAAAGAAAACAGAAACACAAAATAATAAAAAAAAAAAAAAAAAAAAAAAAAAAAAAAAAGAAAAAAGAAAAAAAGGAAAGTTAGCAAGTGAGTCTCTGGAGGCGGATACTTCACCTTTTAAAGAGTTAAAAAGAAAAGAAGTTAAGAAAAGAAAATGTATTTTCTCCTGTTCGTTTTTATTAGGACTACAGGCAAAGAACGCAAGTGACCCCACATTCCTCTAAATTCTGGGTTACTAGGAGGCAACGTTTTTTTTTTAACAGCCACAGGCTGATGATTCACAACCAAAAGAGCTATGAGGAGAGATGTAGCTCGGTCCCAATACAAAGAAAGATCAATCTTTTTTTAAAGTAGGCTCCACGCCCAACTCAGGGCTTGAGCTCATCTCCCGGAGGTCAAGAGTCGCACGCTCCACGGACTGAGCCTGCCGGGCGCCTGGAATCGCAACCCTTGAGTCTGTCTGATCACCCCCAGGGATGCAGACAGCAAATGCAGACAGCGACAAAATCTGGAAATGACCTACCCATCATTAGCATCTCCTAGGGCTTTCATGGTGCTATGTAAAAAATGTAACTTGACTAACTTTTCTAGACAAAATTCGAAAAGCCTGTGTAACTATATATGCTGTCCTCCTAAAAAAAAGAAAAAGTATCCTCCTTAGCCTGTGGAATTTAGAAGTCAGAGTCGACGCCTGAATGAACATCAGGCTGGACAACTAGAACTTAGGAGCGGCCTCAGCAGCCCGCGCGTCCCCAGCCGCACCCCACTCACCGTGGCCCCCTGCGCCGGCCCCAGACCCATTCCTGTCCTCAGACTCCGCTTTCATTCCAGTCACTGGGAAGGCTGGTGGAGGCATCAACTGCCTGTGAGAAGAGAAACCAGGACAGCCTTTCAGACGGATTCTGCGGGCTGCGCTCCTCTCTGGTGGACTGTCGGAGCCGCCCATGGCCGCGCCCCGCGAGCGGTCAGCAAGCTGTGAGCGTGCAAGGTGTTAGCCAGGCCTGGCCCAAAGCAATGCACTGCTCGGGAGACCAGTCCCATCGGAGGAAAGAACAGCATGGGGAAGCACCAGATGGAAGCTGGACCCCCGTTCAAGCACCTCAGTCCATAATATTCTAGGATTCTTTGTTTTTTTAAACATTTTATTTGAGACAGAACAGGAGCGGCGGCGGGGGTGTGGGGCAGGCGGGGGGAAATGCAGAGGAGAGGGAGAGGCAGGTTTCCCGTTGAGCAGGGACCCCGATGTGGGGCTGGATCCCAGGACCCTAGGATTATGACCCGAGCTAAAGGCAGACACTCAACCGACTGAGCCCCCCAGGCGCCCCAATAGTCTAGGATTCTAAGTAGCAAACACAGCTTGGGTAAGACTTCAGTCACTGGGGCGCCTGGATGGCTCAGTGGGTTAAGCCTCTGCCTTCGGCTCAGGTCATGGTCTCAGGGTCCTGGGATGGAGCCCCGCATCGGGCTCTCTGCTCAGCAGGGAGCCTGCTTCCCCCCTCCCCTCCTCTGCCTGCCTCTCTGCCTACTTGTGATCTCCGTCAAATAAATAAATGAAATCTTTAAAAAAAAAAAAAAAAAAAAGACTTCAGTCACGGCCTACACTTAGGAACATGGCCACGCTGCATATAGTGCAGCAGAGGAGGACGCCTGACACAAGCATGGAGTGACTCAAAGCCCAGGGTAACTGCCCCGTGACTGTGAACGGGGCGGGGGGGGGGCAGCACCCTCCGTGAGTGCAGCGATTATCAAAGAATAAAGGGGGGGGCAGTTTAAGCCAAAGGATTGCATTACACTTTGATCGATGGATTACTTTTTTTTTTTTTTTTAAAGTAGGTTCCACACCCAGCGTGTAGCCCAGTGTGGGGAGTGAACTCACGACCCCGAGATTAAGACCTGGGCTGAGATCAAAAGTCTGACACTCGACCTCCAAGTCACCACGCGCCCCTACGTTACAGTTTTGAGAACACGGAAGCTCACGGCAACGGAGCAACAGTGCAGACCGAGGACACCTGGATACAGTCACGCGATCGCGCTCCAACGCACTCACCTGTCCCTCTCTCGCTCTTTGCCTGAGGAACTTGCCGGCTTCGATCCTGCACCTTCGATCTCATTCTGACTGGAGAAGCCTGTACCTAAATTAGTCATATGAATGGGTCCATGCTATGAGCAGAAAAATACAGCGGCATTAGCAAACCTACGACTGCTGCAGTGACTTCAGCTCCTCAACGTAACTGTCAAGTGCCTCGTCTTTCTGGTCAGTGGCGGTGAGCTCACTACCCAGCCCTCTGGGACCTGGACATAACCACAGCTGGAGGAGACCTGGTCTCTCCCCGGAGCGCCTGCTCATGCTATGCGGGTCTGTTTCCAACTGTCCTTTCATAAACTAGAATAATGCGCCACAGTCTGTTTCACAGAGCACTTCAAGGGCTCTGGCCAAAAGTAAAGGTGCGTCTCCTGATAAAATAAAGGGCACCAACACTATACATTTATTTATGTTAAAACTTCACATTGAAACAGTATTTTAAAAATCTCTTTACTTGAATGACCACTTGTGTGACAGAACCACTGCATCTCCACCCACCTTCTGTCCCGCGCGGTGGGGACCGGAAGAAGCTACTGCTCTCCTTTGTAGAGCAACGATAAACTGAGAGCCCAGGTTCAAGTACAAACCACGTAGCAGGTGAGTCAGAACCACCTGCGGCCATCAGGAGCACCACACAGGTAAGAGCAAGCGTGGAATTCTACGGCCCTCCTTCTCGGCCGAGTCTCAGACCCTCCGCCTCCCCCTGCAGCGGTTATTTCCTTCTACTGCCCCAAAGACCAACCCACCCAAAGGGAGTCCCTCTTGATTGAAACTAATCCCCCAAGGAGAAAAAACCTAATCTAAAAGGATTCCAGAAAACAGAAATCCAGTACTGGGAGGATGCCTCATACGGATGTGAACTTATCTTTCTTTCAAGGGAGAATACAGTAGATAAGATGACAAAAATAAGGGTATTTTATTTAACCTGGTATCCAAGAAGTCCAGACTCTCGTTCATCTGGCAGCTCCTCTGTGAATCGCCTCTTCTGCGCCTGGGGCTGAGCTGGGAGTGGGGGCGGGGGCGGGGGTGGGGGCTGGGGGCCCGCAGGCAAGGCAGTTTTGACAGGAGCAGCAGGAATGAAAGGCCCACTCATCGGACTCTGGGACCAAAACAAACCAAGGGGGGGAAAGGTGTGAGAATGTCCAGCCATAATAAGAAAAACAAAATCACAACAGACTTTAATGATCCACGTGTCCTAGAAATCCTGTCTCTCTGGTCCTCAGCTGCCCTCCGGGATCACTTGCTGACGAGAGAGCCTGGCCTCCCCACCTCCATGGTAGGGAAATGCCACACTGACAATCTCTCCAGTGCTTTGAACTCTCAGGAAAAACCTGCTGTGCCCTTGGGCTACTAGGGGCAAACAGGACCAACAAATAAAAATTCCAGCCACTCAGGGACGCCTGGGTGGCTCAGTTGGTTAAGCGGCTGCCTTCGGCTCGGGTCATGGTCCCAGCGTCCTGGGATCGAGTCCCACATCGGGCTCCTTGCTTGGCGGGGAGCCTGCTTCTCCCTCTGCCTCTGCCTGCCACTCTGCCTGTGCTCGTGCTCTCTCTCTCTCTCTCTCTCTCTCTCTCTCTAACAAATAAATAAAAAAAATCTTTAAAAAAAAAAAAAAAAACAAAGAATTCCAGCCACTCAGTCCAGAAGTTATCAAGCAGAAAATTCTCCGACTTAGAACTCTCTAATCAATGTGATAGCTCTTTCTGCATTAAAAAGGCTGCTAACGCTTACGGCAAAGGCGAATTCACTGCCACTTCTAGGGAGAATTGTTACAGCAACAGAGAGCCTATCCAATGTTTAAGAGATTGTTCCAGAAAGGAATAAGGACTGATCCAGGACGCATCAGAGAAAACAAGCACCTCTCAGAGGACTGCATTCATGAAACCAACGGCTAAAACCTGCTGAATGCTTGGGTCATCTCACTCAACCCTTGCAACCTCTCAGTAACGCTTCACCCATTTTCTAGAAGGAAACCAAAGCCTGGATAGGCCAAGTCACATCCCAGGATTACACGGCTGGATCACAGGAAAGCACGAGGAACCACGCAGCCTATGTCTAAAACCCAACCCTAAGGGCCGGCTCGGTCACACTCCTTACTGGTGACAAAGCAACGTGCCTGAAAGCTGGAGGTCTACGGCTCGGCCAAGCACAGCAGGCAGGTAGTCAGGACCAGGGGTCCCAGACAGAGTTTAGGGAAGCCTTCTGCTCTTTCATACTGGGCAGCCCCCTCCGGTGCTCACAGCCCACCAGTGAGGACCAGGGCCACGGTGTAAGGCCACAAGCTCCCCTGGCCCGGGTATACGGCCAGAGGCCCGCGGAGAAGGAGCCTGTCATCAATGCACCTGCGTGCGCTCGCTCGCTTCTCCCCTAGAGCAGGGCCGCACGCCATCCACCTGGATGAGCTGGAACCACCCGTCCCTCAAGGACCAGTTTCGCGCGCGGTCTGAGAACTACACGACAGCATTCAGAATCCTTCAGCTGGCAAAGGGCACGTATCTCTCGGCCCCGAACTCCTGCACGGGGGCGTCTGTCTGGAAGACCAGCATCACCAGCACCGGCCTGTGGCGCGTCCCCCGCCGGGGGATCCAGTGTTCTCAGAGCCCGCGTGGCCCGCCACGCCTAACCCACTGGCCGCATGGCCCTGCCGAGGAAGCTTCCTGACTCTTGTCTAAACCTCCGTCTGGTGGGGGGCCCGTGACACGCATCCAGAGACCCGGGGCTGCGTCCGCGCACCCACGCGAGCTGGGGACAGAGTACCTCCCATCGCACAGAACCAACCCACTCTCTCCTCCTGAAGGACACCGCCACCTCCACACCTCTCCCCGGGCCACCTCTCCTGAGGTCAGTGGTGCAGTTCGCGCCCGGCGGCCTACCTGGCCAGCGCCAGCGGGGGGCTGGACTTGCGCTATCGGGTATTGTGTTGGCACAGGGGGGGCTCCCGTAGGTAATGCTGGCAAGACTCCAGGTGCCAGAGAGACCGCTGGTGGCACTATGCTTGGGACTCCGTAGGGAGGCTGAACCGGCTGCTGAGGAGGGGGAACAACAGGGTAACCAGACTGATAGCCATTGGATGGATAATATGGTGGCTGAGGAGGGACACTACTTAGAGCAGAGGGTTGTGTATAGCCTGAGGGGGAAGAAAAAAAGTGTTTAATCAGCTGCAGCAAAACGAGACATTTTAGCTGAATATTAACCTACTCTCTAGGGAAGAAAAACACTGAGGGACGAATGGCTTCCCAAATTACCATAAGCTGACGGGAACACTATCAGTGCCCCAGCACGGGCCAGCCTTAAACATCCTATTCTATACATAAATACCACTAACAAACTATTTCTTTTGCTGAAACACTTTGAGACATACACACCTGGTAAGGGCACAGCAGTATTAATCTGATTCACAAATCTAGAGTATTCAGCATGAACCTGCAAGAGAACGGAAAGCAAATTCATACCGGAGGGTCCCGATTCACGGAGTACTCGCGAAGGTCAATGAGACAACTCTAGAACCAAAGCAGCTAAGAATGAAAAATATTTTCACTGATTAGGGGCCCCTGGGTGGCTCAATGGGTTAAAGCCTCTGCCTTCGGCTCAGGTCATGATTCTAGGGTCCTGGGATCGGGCCCCGAATCGGGCTCCCTGCCCGGCGGGGAGCCTGCTTCCCCCTCTCCAGCTCCCCTGTGCTTATGGTCCCTCTCTCGCTTTACCTCTCTGTCATAAATAAAATCTTTTAATAAAAAATAAATAACAAAACTATTTCTACTGATTAAAAAAAAAAAACTTCCATTGACATTTCAACCAAACTTAGACTTGTTTAAGCTAAGTTTTGATAAGGCCCGGGGCACCTGGCCGGCTCAGTCGGTGGAGCATGGGACTCTTGAGCTCAGGCTTGTGAGTTCAAGTCCCACACTGGGTGTAGAGATTACTTAAAAATAAAATCTTAGGGGCACCTGGGTGGCTCAGTGGGTTAAAGCCTCTGCCTTCCGCTCAGGTCATGATCCCAGGATCCTGGGATCGAGCCCCGCATCGGGCTCTCTGCTCAGTGGGGAGCCTGCTTCCCCCTCTCTCTCTGCCTGCCTCTCTGCCTACTTGTGATCTCGCTCTCTGTCAAATAAATAAATAAAATCTTTAAAAAATAGTAACAATAAAATAAAATAAAATCTTTAAAAAAAATCCATCAAGGGCGCCTGGGTGGCTCAGTCATTAAGCGTCTGCCTTCGGCTCGGTTTCTGATCCCACGGTACTAGGGCCGAGCCCCACATCGGTCTCCCTGCTCAGGAGGAAGCCTGTTTCTCCCTCTGACCCTCCCCCGCTCATGCTCTCTCTATCTCTCAAATAAAATCTTAAAAAACATCCATCAACCAAGGAGCGCCTGGGTGGCCGAGGCAGCTGAGCATCCAACTCCTGCCTTCAACTCAGGCTGTCGTCTCAGGTCACGGGGTGGAGCCCTGCACCAGGCTCAAGCCCAGCACAGAGCCTGCTTGAGACGCTCCCTCCACCCCTCCCTCCCGCTCTAAAAATAACAAAATTTAAAAAATTAAAAAATCAATTGGGGCAGCCTGGGTGGCTCAGTCAGTTATGTCTGCCTTTGGCTCAGGTCAGGATCCCGGGATCCCGGGATCGAGTCCCACGTGGAGCTCCTGTCCATGCACATGCACATGCTCTCTCTGACAAATAAAATCTTTAAAAAAATCAATAAATCAATTAATTTTAATAAGGCACACCCTACAAATTATTAAGCCAGGACCTGGCACTCAGGAGCACGGACATCAGGAGCTTCCTAAGTCGGCAAACTGGATTCAGTTCCGAGGCACAGAATCACCCAGAGCCAGAAGGAAAGTTAGGAAATTCCTAAGTTGTCAGTATACCTACTGCGAACTCACTCGTTCTTTTAGTCACTGGACTTGTCCTCAGAGAGCTCAGGGCTCAACACGGGTTAGTGCAGCCCCGTCCAGCTGTTCGTTATGAAACTGCCCGAGTCAGTAACTTCACGTGGTGACAGGGACAGGGGATGGCCAGGGAAGCGCCCTGGTGCAAGGGACGGCAGAGCAGCTACTTCCCGAAAGCAAACAACACAGCTTCCCGAAAGGGCGCCCTTAAGGTACCAAATAACAAAGACTGAACACATGCAACCCCCACTCCTGACTGCCTTCAGGGGCTCTACCCACGGCCCTACTGGTTCCACTTTCGGTTACTAGACTACAGAGTAGAAAGAACACACAATCAAATCAACAATGAGCCCGAAGGCTCTGCTGACCGGTCATAAACTATTCTAGCTCTACCCTTACTAACAAGCAGAATTTGAAACTCCCACCGGTAAGCAACTTGGCCAAGACCGAAAGCACTGTTTAGTAACCCACAACACGTGATTTTATACGCTGTGCCACGGGTTTCAAAATTCTACACTGAAACACTCCGTAAAGGAGAAACGCATGCCAGCCAGGACCCCGGCCGGGGATGTCTGTCTTCCTTACGAGAATGTGAGTTGCTAGAATGGTGAACCGCTTCCGAAACTCCCGTCCGCCCGGAACCTCAGAACATGACCGTATTTGGAAACCAGGTCTTTGCAGACGCAGGGCGTTAGCATGAAGTCATGCGGGCTCGTGGGGGGCCCTAAATACAAGGACTACGACCCTTCAAGGGACAGACAGACAAGGAGACACAGGAGTAGGCCAGGAGATGACGGGGCAGAGAATGCAGCTCTGCTGACATGGGGAGAGAGTGCAGCGGCCAGCGTGCCGGGAGAGCCATGGAACATTCCCCCTCACGGCATTCGCTCAGAAGGAACCAGCCCTGCCCACACTTTGATTCTCAGTGTCTGTCTGGCTTCCTGAACAGCGAGAGAATAACTCTCAGTTGTTTTAAGTCCCCCAGTGTGGGCCTTTGGTATGGGAACCGAGCCCTGAGGAACCAACAAGGTGGGCAAACAGCTGAGACCCAGCCCTGCAGAGCAGTGCTCCTCCACGCGCGGGTGCAGGCGTCACTCACTGTTTGCAAGAGGTTCTCACAAAGCTTCTTGGCGGCGGCCAGGCCTTCTGGTTTGGGGTGACTGCAAAGAAGTAAGGTCCGAGAAGTCAAACACAAGGAAAGGATACAGAATGCTGACTCCACTTTGCACGCTGCTCACAAACAACATACTCAAGCCAGCACCAACATAAGCTGCTGAAAATCACGACCTAATGTCTCTTAAACCCTTTAACCTGTAAGTAGCATCGTGAGGACTAATATTGTATCGGTCTGAGATACAGGTATTAAAAAACATTTAACAGTCACTAAAACAGCCCTAAAATGCGTTAATATCACCAAAGGTTTAAATGAAAACGACGTTAGGCTCATGACCGCTCATTTCAGGGTCACAGCTCGGTATAAAACCCAAGAACCTGAACACTAAAGAAGACAATCCCGCCTCCTAATTCAACAGCTCTTACTTCGGACACGATGAAGCAGTCACTGCCCAGCACTGGCCCCTAGTCCTCAGGTTACCGTTATTTAAACCTATTTTCTTCCTCCCGCGGCATTGCTCCTGCCCGTGCAGAGCAGCGGACGCGCGTTCAAACGGCAAGCGGTCAACAGCACCACACGCACCTAATGTAAATGTACATAGGTTCGAAAGCTTCTCGACCGGACGCCGGCTCGATGCAGCCCGAGCCTTTGCCTCTGAGGAAGACTTTGGCGCCCGTTTCAATCTGAATGTGCTGCAAATAGGAGCAGCCTGGACCTTCCACTTTCTCCTTGACATTGAAGGTGGGCACAGCATGCTCCAGACCCACAAATAACTTGTCTTGAACGTAATGCATCTACAGGACAGAACAGCTCAGATTAAACACATGGCACACGTGAAGTCCTAATCCTGAAAATCGTTTTGCAGAAAACTTTACTAGTCCAGATATTTCTAATCCCTGCCAGAATAGGGATCCCCTGGAATTTTCCCCGCGAGCCCACAGAAACCAACTTGTAGTTTCATTTGGAGGAGCACTATGCGGGCTACGTACCTACCTAGAACAGTAACCCCTTCCTCCGTTCAGCAAAATCTACTTAACAGGTACAAAGACTCACTACTAAGTGCACCCACAGCCGCTGACGGCTGTAAGTCAGTGGGAACCCAGAGCACAGTCTTCTGTGAAATGAGAGAGGCATGTCGGGTCGTACAGTCAGCCCTGTGGTGTCCTCCACCGAGGGCTGCTCTCTCCCACCCTGTTTTCTAGGAGGATTGTATCAGCAGAGTCTTACTTCACCAAACTCCGCCTTCTTAGTCCTCCAGCTGCCGTCACAGGGACAGACATGTAAGCAAACCACTACCTTCCAAATGTACGCTGTGGGCACGCCTGCATCTATCAATGCCCTTTCTAGAATATACCAAAGTAAACAGATGTGTATTCTGACGGTCACTGCATCACGGAACATGAAATGGTCCCTTAACAGGATGCGTCAGCCGGTCAGCCTCAGGCTGGACGTCAGGACGTTCCTTCACACTTTCCGTATTATTTGGCACGTTATCACCTCTACAGAAATGAAAAAGCTGCTCGTGAGCTCTCCACTGAACATACCCCTGACTGGAAGGGAGGCTTCTGGCTGACGGCTGGAGACAACTGTGCGATGGGCGCTGGCTGGTGATACACAGTGACTGTCGCACCATTGAAAGTTGGACTCGTCCCCGTGGCAGCTTTGACCACCCCGTTGGTGATAATTTCTTTGATTCGGTTTACGGCTCCTATGGAAAAAGTGAGATACGATACAGAGGAATAAATGAACTGACTAGAACCCGTGGACAGGCCCAGGCCAATCCGGAACTACCCCTGTACCAACCCAGGCTGCAGGACACCCCGACACGCGGTCCTTGGCCTCTCCACTCCCCCAGCACATGCACAAGCAGTTCATACACGAGTCGCGACAGCCACCCGCAACCTTCTGCCAAGTTACTCTATACTGCCCTGTGCTTTCTCCTTCATAGAAAGGGGGATGTGAACCAAACCGTTACTTACTGTCCACTAATTCCCGTGTCTGGCCCTGAACGTGAAGGTATAACGGACGATCCCTAAGAGAGAAACAAAAGCGATGGTCCCACACCACACACAAGCGAAGGAACCAGATGGCACCCAATCCAGTCTGCAACGTTTACAGTCTCCAAGTAAGTAAACGGGACTACGTACAAGAAGATGGCTGTCACCGACGCCTACGAACATGGTTTTACAGCTAATAAATGAGCTTTTCTTGTTGCTCCACGTTAACTCGTCCACACACGGATCAAATCTGTTCTTGTGGGCTCATGAACACTGGCAAGTAGTCAATGGAAACAACCTGATGTCTGAGAACAAAAGTCCTTCTTGTTGGTTGTCTAACAGGGAGGGGCAGTTGTGCTCCAAATTAAAGGGGCAAAGTGACAGCAGCCCGTGGACCACGTCTGTGACGCCTGCAACCCAGGGGACTCTAGATTTTTAATGTAAAGTGGCTTAGATTCCGATTTTGATTATAATAATGAAGATCATCAAAAACCATACAGTTAATATAAAGCTGTAGGTAAAATAATAATAGTATTTAAAGACAAGAAAGTTCAAAACAGCAAATAGCACAGATGTGTTCCAACATAAATATGTTCCTGGTTTCAGGTGGGGACCAAGTTTTTTTTTTAAGATTTTACTTATTTGACAGAGAAATAGAGAGTACAAGTATAAGAAGGCAGAGAGGCAGGCAGAGGGAGAGGGAGAAGCAGGCTCCCCGCCGACCAGGGAACCCGATGCGGGGCTCAATCCCAGAACCCTGGGATCGAAGGTCAAGATCACGACCTGAGCCGAAGGCAGCCACTCAACCGACTGAGCCAACCAGGCGCTCCGTCTCAGGTGGGGACCAAGTTTTGCCTCCTAATTATATTTAGTTTAAGCCAACGTGGAAAGTGTCACAGTACCTGACTACCTGCCCTCAAAACCAAGTGATGGGAAGGAGTTAACCATAAGGCACAAAATCTGTCAGCTGAAAACCTCACAGCCATCAGAGAGGCAACGAGCTGTCTTATGAAAGGAGATGGTTTTTTTGGTTTTTTTTTTTTAAAGATTTTATTTATTTGTCAGACAGAGATTATAAACAGGCAGAGAGGCAGAGAGAGAGGGAGGGAAGCAGGCTCCCCGCTGAGCAGAGCCCGATGCGGGGCTCAATCCCAGGATCCCGGGATCATGACCTGAGCCGAAGGCAGAGGCTTTAACCCACTGAGCCACCCAGGTGCCCCAGGACCTATTTTTTAAAAGGGAGATTACAATAAAGTACAGACCCTTTTGTTGGGGGAAGCATTCCCATACAAAAGTTTGGAAGCATATATATTAAATGTAGCGATTATCTCATTTTACACTTTTCCATAAATTATCTCCTCCAATAAAGTCACCTGTGAAATAAAAATATCCAAACAGCAACAGGAAGGCAAACTGCAGCCGCCAACCCTTACGCGTGTTGGAGGCGTCCCAACTTCTACTACACAGTGTGTGTATACACACACACCGAGCTACTAACCCAGTGTCTGCACGGATCGCCTACGAACGAAAAATATGAAACTAACGTGAGCTCCGTGTCCAAACGCTCCCCAAAGCAGAGGATGTGCATACACACCCTGGTCCCACTTTGGCCTTCTCCTCAGCCGTCATGAATCTCCCTCGAGTTGACACGGCAGCCCCACTAAGTCGGCTGATCTGAAAGGGAAACGTTCTCTCAGAAAGAAGATGTGGCAATGGACCTATTTCAATGACAGGCAGAAGGACGCCCCCAGTCATTCGCTACACCCAGCGAGCAACGAGTTCCCTCCCGCATCCAGAACCTCAACTCCGTGGTTTCTCGCTCAGCTGACCCGGGAGCCCACCCACACCCGTTTCTCTACCTTCCCTGAGAAGTTCCTCCGCAGTTAACGGAACCCAATCCTGACTCTGGAGAGTGTGACCCAAACCCACCCATAAACATGCGACTCCTCTCTGTCCGCAGTCAGAGGTCCTGCTTTCCCAACTGCGGCCGCCGGCCACCTTTCCCCCAGGGCCCAAGGTCTGCCCACCTCGTCCTGAGTCTGCCCTCGAGTCAGCAGGTTCCGGCACGTGAGAGGCACGTCGTTGATCTCGACCTCAGCTACCACCAGGTCATCCTTGCTTTTACTGCTGGTGAGCCCTTTGCCGGCAGCCTGAAGCTACAAGAGAAACTCCGGAAGGTGAAAGAACGCTCCTGTGTAATCCACAAGCGCCCCTCCCCAGGTCCCACCACCAGCACCTTACTGCTCCCTTCACGAGCCTCCGAACACACCTGGAAACACTCCTCCTCATTCTTCGAAGACGAAATCACAAGTGAGCAAAACCTCACTAAGCCGACATCAAGTATTGTCAATTTACTTGAAGGCAATCCTCAGATTTCTCTGGAACCTTGGCCATGTGTGTGTTTCTATGACCGCATAACCCCAGAAACCCTACGGACTAGAAGCTGCCATCTCCACGAGGAAAATTAAAAGGCTGCGTGCCGTCCGATACAGGGCAGAGTCCAGGGCGCGAAGCAACCCACGCACCTCATTTGGGGAACTGGACGCGGCCTTCGTGCCAACACCGCAGCTGCAACGTATCCCGTGCAACAGGCCCCGTCCTCACAACGATCCGGAAAACCCGAAGTTTATCTAATGGACAACCCATTACTCTCTAATAACGAAGAACCAAGAGAATGAACGAAATGCCAAGCAAAATCCTGAAATCTGATCCAGTTTCTCTCAATTTAATCTATGGACAACTCCAGATACCGGATCAGAGTTATCTGAACAAATGTTCATCCCAAGATGGCCTTCCACAACCCTTTGAGGCCTTGGACCAATGTTCCGTGAATCTGCTCAAAGGAGATAAAATACAGTTTACTTCCTAATGTGTTAGATACATTTTTAAGAGAGATTTACTTATTTATTTTAGAGAGAAGGAGGAGACTCTCAAGCATACCACACCCAGCTTGGAGCCCAACATGGGGCTTGACCTCGTGTCCACAAGACCAGGCCTGGAGCCAAAATTAAGAACCGGATGCTGAACGGACTGAGCCACCCAGGCGTCCCACATCAGACAGTATTTCACAACATGCACAAACTACGCAACTCTACAATGTCTCGTCTTTGTTCAGCCCCTGCTCAGTCCTGGCCATCATCAAACGTGCTTATCAGTGCTACCGCACGGGACTCCCTGCACGGGACTCCCTGTGGTGACACAGGTGTTCGCTACCTGCCTGGGAGAAACAGGGCCACAGCCCCATGTCCAAAGGCTGTGACAAGGAACTGAATTTTGAATGTTAATTCAAATTTTATTTATTTATTTATTTATTTAAAAGATTTTATTTATTTATTCCACAAAGATAATAAGTAGGCAGAGAGGCAGGCAAGGGTGGGGGTGGGGGGGGAGGCAGGCTCCCTGCTGAGCAGAGAGCCTGATTCGAGACTCAATCCCAGGGCCCTGAGATCATGAGCTGGGCCGAAGGCAGAGGCTTAACCCACTGAGCCACCCAGGCGCCCCCAAATTTTAATTTAAATAGCTACATGTGGCTACTGACTACTGTCGTGGACCACACAAGTGTGTGTCACCAACCCTATCAGAAGAGGAAACTGAGGCCCCACGACGTATCTAAGCCACACAGCCAGTAACTGAGGACCCCTGGCGTCAAGCCCACGTATTCTGGTTCTAAATCCACGCTCCCTCCTGCTGTGCTCAACTGCTTCTCAGAGGAAACACGTGAAAAAATGACAAACATCAGTGTTAAAAATGTTAACATTCAAGGAGCACTCCCTCTCAGTGCGCCGTCACTACTTCCCTGCAGAACTCAGAAATGCACAGTTCACTCTGTCTTTGCAAATAACAATACAATGAAAAATGAAGTTCCAATTCACTAGAAGTTCCCAGCGATTCTGCACAACTTGAGTATTTAAACATCCAGACAGACAATGGCCGTTCTGTGGCTATTACACGCATACACTGGACGACTAACAAAAAATCATCCCCCCAGCTATACCAATGTCCTTGACAAGTAAAAACTGTCCACGTTCAAGGTGAACACCTGACGTTTGGATATAATCGCCACAAACATGCTAATTTACACATTCGTCACTCACCCAAATTGCATTTTCAAACACAGAACCCATCTCTGTTTTGGAAAAATTGGAAAATTGGAAGGCAATTTTTAATTGAAGCCCAAAGAACTTTTTTTCAAATGAGAATTATAATGCAATGAGCCGCCTCAGAACACACTGAATTCTCCAATGGAAGAGGCTTTCCGGTGAAAGCTAAAGCCCGACTGTCGGAAATGACTCTGAAGTCAGACACGTGCGTGACTGATCGTGCACAATTTACGCTCAGGAGCTGCATTTCTCTCTGTAACTGGAAACAGTAATCCATCCCGTCACACTGCTGCAGAGTCTGTCTTGAGGGCAAAGCATGCACTCCAGCAACACAAACAGCCACGACACTCATTGTTCTATAGGAGGACTCTTGTCCCCTATGGCAGCATAAATTGAAGACTTCAAAGTTCAGATCCATCCTAGTTTTGATATTTTAATTAAACCAGAAATTCTGTAAAATGACCAATTTCCTCAATTTCTGTGAAAACAGCAAAACCACCAACATATCAATTACTCATTTCATTTCACATTCAATTACACTGTAAGCAGTCATTGGAAACCTATAGAGTCTGGAGAACTTTGTATGTATGCATTTACTTTTAGTATAGCTGACTAGAGACTTTTTTTTTTAATTTTATTTATTCATTTGACACACAGAGATCACAAGTAGGCAGAGAGGCAGGCAGAGAGAGAGGGGGAAGCAGGCTCCCCGCTGAGCAGAGAGCCCGATTCGGGGCTCGATCCCAGGACCCCGAGACCGTGACCTGAGCTGAAGGCAGAGGCTTTAACCCACTGAGCCACCCAGGCACCCCGAACAACATTTTAAAGCTCCCTTGATTTACATGAAGGTCTCTTTTGACCTCAGTGAAAATGCACATGTATTGAAAAACATGTTACACTGTCCCTTTACATCATTACGTCGATAGAAAGTAAGCTGAATTAAGTGAACAAAGACAAAATCAACGATCTGGTCCATAAATGTAACCAAAACAACCAAAATTGCCTCGCAAAAAGCAAATGACAAAACGTCATGTGAGGCACTCCAAAACTAAGTGATCTTTAAATTACCGTGACCCTGTTTTCGCCTTAACACAAATAACTGTGTAACTACAGGATTACAAAGTAACCCCATTGAAGTGGGCCTTAGCAGAGTCCCTCCGGCTTCCCTACCTTCTCAGCAGCGTTCTGGGCCGGCTTCAGCTTCCCCTTGGCCATGAGCATGGCATTGATCTTGGCGGCCACAGCAGCAGCAGCATCCAAGGCGCCAGAGGGAGCAGCCGCGGAGCCCCCAGGGCTTCCCCCACTGCTGGGAACCTCCCCGCCTGGGGCCGACGGTGGGAGGAAGAGGAGGGGGGCCGGAGCGGGTTGGTCCCATTTGCTGCGGCGCCTACAGAAGAGAAAGGAACACATCAGGCCCCGATTATTGCTCCCTTGCTCCGCTTCGGCACCCCGCCTCCCCGACGCGACCTTCCCAGCCCCGAGTCTCTGATCGAGATTCCGATCCCCCGACAGTCGCGGCAGGTCTGCTCACTGCTCTCAGCCCTTTTCCGCTCCGCGCTCCCTCTCCGACCCTCCCTTCCGTCCCACACGCCCGCGGCTTCCTCTGCCTCTCGGCCGGGCCTTCCCGAGGTCCCTGCTTCCCTCTTGTCCCCGGTCCCCGCCGGCCTTTCTCGGGAGCCCCAGGGCCTGCTCACCACCCTTCTCCCCGAAAGCCCGGCCCTCCGGCGCGCACACGGCCCAGTGGAGCGCCCCCCGCCCGGACGCAGCTCCCGGCGGCCCCCCCCGCCTCTCCTCCGCCCCCGGGGCGCTGCGATGCCGCCGCCCGCGAAGCTTTACCCGCCGGCCCCGGGATGTGTCGCGCTCCCCGCGGACATGGCGACCGGCTCTGCTCAACCACCCGCCAACTACCCCGCTACCACCTTCCCGTCACTTCCGCCCCCAACGCCCTCACGCACAGCCCCTTCCGGTCGTAAGGAGACGCTATTCCGGTGAAAGCGTCGCTTCCAATTGGACTCCAGTTGATTTCCAGGCGGCCGGCGTCATCGGAGACAGGTAGGGCCTGACCTTCCTGCGCGCGCCCTGCCCTTGAGAAAGATGGCTTCCGAAGCGCGCGTCCCGGCGGGATCGGGGCGAGCAGGCCCATGTTTGTTGTGGGCACGGCGGTCGCCGGCCAGACAATGCGCAGGAGTCCGGGAACCGAACGGGTTTCTTCCTGAGTGCGGCCACGACCTCCGGCCGGGAGCGAGCCTTCCGCCACTCTGGCCCGCCTCACGTCTCCGTTACCTGTTTAGGAAAAGGCCAGTGGCTCGCCCCAAAGGCCACGTGAAGATTTTCTCTGGTTCTACGTCTGCGCGCCAGCCACTGCTTTCAGAGCAGGGGCTCGGGGTGCGCCGCGAGGGGGCGCCGGCGCCCGGGCGGGAGAGCGGAGGGAGGGCGGGGCTTGGGGTGGACCGCGGACGGCGGAGGAGAGGGGAGGGGCGGGCTCGGGACAGACAGCGATCATGGAGGGGAGGGGAGGGGAGGGGAGGGCTCGGCGCGGGGGGGACGGCGGGGGGGGGGGGGGGGGCCGGCCCGGGTGCTTCGCCTGGGGGAGCCCTGGAGTGGGTGGTGGTCGCTGCGCACGACCGTGTTGGGGGGTCTTGGACTGCAGGGACACTCGGTTGGATGGATAGCTTGCAGTGCTATTTTTTCTTCTTTTTTTTAAAAGATTTTATTTATTTATTTGTCAGAGAGAGAAGGGGCGTAAGCAGGGGGAGCAGCAGGCAGAGGGCGAGGGAGAAGCAGGCTCCCCACTGTAGGGAGCCTGACGTGGGGCTCGATCCCAGGACTCCGGGATTCCGACCACAGCCGGAGGCAGACGCCCAGCCCACCGAGCCACCCCAGGCGTCCCAGTGCTATTTTTCGAATGAGTTTACATCCTGGTGAGATTCATAGAATGCAGATTCATTTGAAATCCAAATTCCTGTTTTCCCTTCAGCATTTAATAAATGTCCTTTCCAGGGCGTCTGGGAGGCTCAGTTGGTTAAGCAACTGCCCTCAGCTCAGGTCATGATCCTGGAGTCTCGAATCGAGTCCCGCATTGGGCTCCCAACTCCACGGGAAGTCTGCTTCTCCCATCTCATGTTCTCTCTCTCTCTCAGATAAATAAATAAAATCCTTGGGAAAAAAAAGTCCTTTCAGTACAAACAGCACCTTTATCATATAGGAAATTTTATTTAGACAATATTAAGTTTTTTCATTCTTTTGCATTGATGTATTCTTTTGCTACAGGATCTTATTGAATAATTCTATGTTTTAATATCTGTTAGGGCAAGCCAAGTCCCATCATCTTCTATGTTTCTTGCTTATTCTGACAGGTGTGTTTTTCCAAAGAATTTCAGATTAAACAGCTTTGTTTTCCTGTTGCTCCTTATCCCTAAATACAATGCTGTTGGGAGTCTGAAAATACATTGTTTAGGGGGTGCCTGGGTGGCTCAGTTGGAAGACTGTGACTCTTAATCTCAGTTCAGGTCTTGATCTCCGGGTGGTGACCTGAATCCCCAAGCTGGGCTCCGCGTGGCACATGCAGCTTGCTTTTAGAAAAAAAAAGAAAGAAAGAAAGAAAGAAAGGGAAAGAGAGAGAGAGAAAGAAAGAAAGAAAGGAGAGGAAGAAAAGAAAAAAATACATTATTTTTTCCTTTTTAAAAAAAAATTGAGATGTCCGGGCACCTGGATGGCTCAGTTAGTTGTCTGCCTTTGGCTCAGGTCATGATCCAGAGGTCCTGGGATCCAGCCCTGGATCGGACTCCCTGCTCAACGGGGAGCTTGCTTCCCCCTCTCCCCTTGCTTGTGTTCCCTCTCTCCCTGTCTCTATCTGTCAAATAAATAATTTTTTTAAAAAATTGAGATGGGATTTATAAATCATATTACTTTTTTTTTTTAAGATTGTATTTATTTATTTGACAGAGAGGGACACAGTTGAGAGAGGGAACACAAGCAGGGGGAGCGGGAGAGGGAGAAGCAGGCTTCCTGCCAAGCAGGGAGCCTGATGTGGGGCTCGATCCCAGGACCCTGGGACCGTGACCTGAGCCGAAGGCAGACACCTAGCGGCTGAGCCACCCAGGCGCCCCCATATTACCTTTTTTAAAAGAGTTCTGGGGCACCTGGCTGGCTCAGCAGGTAGAGCATCCAATTCTTGATCTCAGGGTCATTAGTTCAAGCCCCCTGTTGGGCATGGAGCCTACTTAAAAAAATAAGTAAAAATAAAAGTGCACTTGAAGTGCTCTATTCACAACAAAGTTGTGCAAGAACCACAATTACAGGGGCGCCTGGGTGGCTCAGTGGGTTGGGGCCTCTGCCTTCGGCTCAGGTCATGATCTCGGCGTTCTGGGATCGAGCCCCGCATCGGGCTCTCTGCTCAGCAGAGAGCCTGCTTCCCCCCTCCCTCTCTCTCTCTGTCTGCCTCTCTGTCTACTTGTAATCTCTGTCTGTCAAATGAATAAATAAAATATTTAAAAAAAAAGAGCCACAATTACATAATTCCACATCATTTCATCACTCCAAAAGAAACCCTACGCGCATCATCAGACCCTTCCCATCTCCCCACTAATGACAACCACTAATCTGCCTTCCCTCTAGATTTGCCCATTATGGACATTTTACATAAATGGAACCATAGAACATATGACCTTTTGCGTCTGACTTCGTTCACTGAGTATCATGTTTTCATGGGTCACACATATTGTAGGGCGTGTCTGTCCTTCATTCCTTGTTATGGCCAAATAGTATTCCATTGTATGGACAGACCACAACTCTATCTGTTCAGGTGTTTATAGATACTCACCATTCCTTTTTTTTTTTTTTAAAGATTTATTTACTTAATGAGAGAGCCTGGGGAGGAGAGGGAGAAAGAGAATCTCAAGCAGACTTCATGCTGAGCATGGAGCCCAACTTGGGGAGACACGGGGCTCCATCCCATGACCCCGAGATCCCGACCCGAGCCGAAACCAAAAATCGGACACTTAACCGACTGAGCCAGCCAGGCGCTCCGATAGTCACCATTTCTACCTTTGGGAAAATGCCTTCAAATCCTTTGCCCTGGGGCACCTGGGTGGCTCAGTGGTTAAGCCTCTGCCTTCAGCTCAGGTCATGATCTCAGGGTCCTGGGATCGAGTCCCACATCGGGCTCTCTGCAGGGACCCTGCTTCCTCCTCTCTCTCTCTCTCTCTGCTTGCCTCTCTGCCCACTTGTGATCTCTCTCTGTCAAATAAATAAAATCTTTAAAAAAAAAAAATCCTTTGCCCTTTTCAAAGTTGGATTGTCTTTTTATTGTTGAGTTGTAAGAATGAATTCTTTGTTACGAAGCCAAGTACTTCAGATACAGGATTTGTAAGCCTTTTCTCCTGCTCTACGAGCTGTCCTTCCACTTTCTTGCTAGCATCCTTTGAAACATAAATATTTTGTAGATTTGATGAAGCCTTTGATTTTTAGACTTGGGCTCATTGACAAGTTTACTGTGATGAGTGTCCTGCCCAGGGGTTCGGCATACCAGATCCGCATGTGTTGGCCTCCAGTAAATCCTTTACCGTTTTTCATCTAGGCTTTTGTTTCTTTCTTTGCAAGTATATGCATAGGTATTTTAAATTTTTTGACTGCTATTTTGAAAAGACACTTAATTGTATTTAAGCATATAGTCTTTGTTACAAAAAGTTACTGGGTTTTTTATAACTAGCCCCCTTGCTATACCCTAAATAGTCCTAATGATTTTGTAGCTAAATGTCTTGCATTGATAAAATGTTGTCATGGATAAGAGCACATGTTGCTTGTGTTCAAATCACAAAGTCACTACTGACTTACTGGGTGAACTTGGGCCAAATTCTGGGCCTCAGTTTCCTTATCTCTTGTTTTGTTTGAAGATTTTATTTTGGGAGCGCCTGGGTGGCTCAGTCGGTGAAGTGTCTGCCTTTGGCTCAGGTCATGATCTCCAGGTCCTGGGATCGAGCCCTGCAGTGGGTCCCTGCTCAGCCGGTGCCTCCTTTTCCCTCTGCCCCTCCTTCCCATTCATTCTCTCTCTGTGTCTCTCAAAGAAATAAATAAAATCTTTAAAAATTTTATTTGTAAGTAACCTCTACACCCAGTGTGGGGCTTGACCTCACATACCGGAGATGGAGCATCAGGAGCTCCCCTGACTGAGCCGACCAGACGCCCCCTCAGTTTCCTTATCTTTGAAAGGGAGGCAGAAATAGTGCCTGCGTCACAGAGTTGTAAGGGCAGTATGAATCAATATAAAAGGTTATTTGGATACTGCAGGTATAATAAGTATTGTTAGTATCTCGTGGATATAAGATAGAATTCGTAGGGGCGCCTGGGTGGCTCCGCCAGGGAAGTCTCCGGCTCGTGCATTCGGCTCAGGTCCTGATCTCGGTGGAAGGATTGAGCGGGGCGTTGGCTTGGGATTCTCCCTTTCCTGCCACTCCTCCCCGCGCTGTATATGGGCTCTTTATCCCCCTTTCTAAATGGATAAATAAAATCTTTAAAGAAAAAAGAAAAAAAGACTATTACTTTGTTACACTGCTGATTGAAAAAGTCTCTAAAGTGAGAGGTTAAGAGGTTAGTCTGAGGTGGTTTTTCCTTCCTGTTTGGTGCAGAATCAAAAAATTGCCATATGGGGGCGCCTGGGTGGCTCAGTGGGTTAAGCCGCTGCCTTCGGCTCAGGTCATGATCCCAGGTCCTGGGTTCGAGCCCCACATCGGGCTTTCTGCTCAGCAGGGAGCCTGCATCCTCCTCTCTCTCTGCCTGCCTCTCTGCTTACTTGTGATTTCTCTCTGTCAAATAAATAAAATCTTTAAAAAAAAATTGCCATATGGACCCCCGTGGCTGGGCACTTCCTAGGGCTCGCTTCTGGATGATTAGGCCCCCTACTGCCACCTGTCAGACAGCTGGGGGGGGGAGCAGATATCAAACTCAGAAGCTGTCAGCATCCCCTCCCACCCTGTGACACCTGTCACTGGCTCCT